CTGGTGTCAGTGGTGACAGCAAGCGTCAATCAACATCTAGCTCAGACAGTGCAAAGATAAGTTCAGATGATGACTATGTTGATTATCAAGAGATTTACGGAGATGGCAGAGTAAAAGATGTCAGTATATATGATGTCCCTGTTCAAGTAAGTAATTAGGCAAATATCAGTTAGAGCTAATGCTATATGCAGTACAGTATTTAAGGTAGGGGGGAGCTTGAAACAAAAAGACCCACCTGAAATTAAAGTTCCTGACTTGCTATTTAAATTAAACGTGATTGCAAAAATGTTGTGGAGTTCATATTTTTCATAACTTTTATAAATATTACCAACAGTGGGGCTATTTATTATCAGTCTTCATAGAGCACAATCAAGAAAAAGATCTGTGTCATGATCACTTTCAGCTGTATCAATTGCAATAACAAAAGAAAGGCACTCATCATCACCCTCCTGCTATTTCATATCCAGACTAATGAAATTTAGTTTTTATTCAAGTAAGACCCATAGTATGCTTGGAAATATTGCTACCTGTAACACATTTTTTAATCATATCCTTTCATCTGTTTTCTGTTTTAGCCAATTCCACTGGAGCAAGGTAGTGGACTCCCTACCACAAAAAGAACACAAGTGAGTATCCTACAGCGTATAAATATGAATGCTGTCAAGGGACTAAAGCTGAATATACCAGATGCATTGCAGCGTTTGACAAAACTTGAACAAGCAGTTAATGGTGCAGTTAACAAATTGTTAAGCTTTGTCACAGTTACATGGCGGAACCCAGAAGTTCTAAAGCCTCATCTAGCAGACATCAGAGATATTGCTGGGAAGGCAAAAGTGGCTTTGAGATTGTTAACAGAATTTGCCCTCAGTTCACTGGTCAATGCAAGAAATCTTCCAAACCATCAGGAGCTCAGTGGTAAGCTGAGCAGAGCAGTTGAGCCATTGTTGGAAACATATTACTCAGTCAAACTGGCATTGCAAAGACTTGATGAAAATGGTTGGAGTGTTGCTTTGGAAAAGAGTGACAAAACACATGATGACCTTGATCTGATTATGGTGCACATCCGCTCTGTTCCTGAGAATTCACAAAACTTGGCTGCTGTTATTCGTACTGCTTCAACTGTACTTTACAGCAAACCAAGCAAGAAAAGTCAAGGAGAAGCTTCCCCATCAGATCGAAGGAAACCTGGTAATGACTCCCACATGCATAGAGTAAAGCAAAACAAAATCTCTGAGACAGATTCAGATCAATCAGAAATGGAGAGGCGAACACTAATCACAAGTGCATTAAAAAACACTGTTGATGCAAATTTCAAGCCTGCAGCTAATGGAGCAAAGTGGAGTCCTACAACAGTTCGGCGTGTTTGTGGTATGGACATCCCTAAAAGGAACAGTAATAGCAGTGAAGAAGAAAGCTCAGCACCAAAGCTTCCAATGCGCTTGCATTCATGTACAGGCAGAGGTAGAGATTCCAGTTCAGGAGAAGACACAAGATCCCCACCAGCACCCCCACAGAGAAAAGACAGCAATGAAAAGTGCCAGCATCTTAGGCAGAAAAGTTTAGATAAATTTCCTCTTGAAGCAACAACTATGGAAGCAATGGGGCCACCTCCCAAACCAAAACTAGACAGAAAAAATACATCAAGAAAAAGTTATAAGATTCCTTTGTACTCTGATCACAATCACAATAAGGGAGACATTAACCTGAGAGAGCGCAAGACATCTGAAACAGAACCAGTTACACCTCGTCGAAAGTGTAATTCAGATCCAACACAGCTACAAGATCACAATGATATGAAGGAAGAACAAGGTTCATTGGAAAAAAACAACTTAGCTCAGAGTTTACTCAAGCAGAGCCTAGTGCATATCTCTGATTCTGACTTACCCCAGAGTTTGAAAGGTGCTAGTAATAGCCACTCATCAACTCTTCCACTTCAAGATAAAAGAAAATTATTCTTTGATTTTACCAATGTTGCCCCTAGCCCAGTGCATCAGCATCCTTTTTCAAACTTGATCAAAGACAATGGTGCCACAAAGGGATTTATGGTGTCTTTGAATGATCGTGAGCTTTTAGAGTTCTACAAGTATGAGATAGATGCCCAATTATTTGTGCTTAGTGAGGCTATCAAAGGGTTTTTTGCTGTTGTGGACAAGAATGAGAGTCCAAAGGTATTTGTGTCCAGTAGTAAGTTTATTGTGTTAAGTGCCCACAAGTTTGTGTACATTGGTGATACTTTGAGCAAGAGGATCAAACAAGGTGATCTTAGGGGTGAAATAATGGTTGTGACTAACAAACTGTCCAACTACATCAAGAGTTTAGTGAGTGCAACGAAGTCAGCGGCATTGCAGTACCCTGCATTAAATGCTATGCGAGAGATGAGTGAAACTGTTGTCCAAGTAAACAATTTTGCAGTTGAGTTGTACCAGATAGTAAAGAAAACCACAAAGAATGCCTAGAACTCTAGGTCATTCCCCAGTACGGTCAAAGGAGTAATATTTTAGAAGATGAAGATGAGTGTGAACAAAGTGAACCATGTACTTGTAATTTATGGTGTTTTGGGTGCTTGAAATTAAATATCAGGCCATTTTGTCCTGGATTTGAAGAATTCTTACATTTCCCCCCTTATGATAATGAACACTTTGAGGATTTTTCAATTTCTTTAGAAGACATTAACTTAATTAAATAAAGAAGTCAAAGCAACCCATTTAGAGCAACAAGGGTAACTAGACAAAAATGTAACATGGTGATTATGTTTTACACATTTTTTTTCAAGACTTTTATTTTTGTGTTGTAAGTCTGTCTAAACTTGAAGACCACTCAGGGTAAAATGTTGCACTGGAATGTATCTGTCATCTGTAGGTGTAAATTGTCTTGAAGGAAAAGACAAACATTTGGGAATTCTCTTACTTAGAACGATTTTTGATAAAGGAGAGTTAGAAATTTAACAGTAAGAATGTACAGTTACTGAATTTCAATTTTTTTCCTTAGCCTTCAGTAATTTCCATTTGACGTCAACAGAGTGCTTAGCCTGATAATTGATGTAGATATTTTATGTATGACCATCTTGTGAAAACAACAATCAATCTATTAATCAGCACATGTGATCAAATTTTAAAGGAAGTGGTAATATAGCACTTGCTTCAAAATTTAATCATTTTATATGTTGTTAATAGCTTGATTATAGAAAGTATTCTAAAAGGAGCAACTTCTCACGTGTCATGTGACTAGTAGAGAGCTATATAAACAAGTTTTATAAGAAGAAAATGGTTTATGTTTATATTCCCTAGGCCCAATGTAGACATCAATGGAATTGTGTGGGAACCTTCATTCTTTATTCTTGTTTGCAGATCAGGTTTACCTAAACTTTCAAGTTTACCTCCAATGTATTTTTTACTGGCTGTATTTTTTGCTGGCTATACTTTCCATTTTGGGAAATATTTGATAATAGACACTGATTTGTAAATATTAAAATTTGCATCTTACATGAAAGGTTAACCACGTATTTGTTTCACTTTTGCAATAGGCCAATATCTAGATAGCATCACTTTACCACAGCTACCAAAATTACATATTTTCCCTTTTTATTCAATTGCAGCAATCTGAGGGAGGTTTAGATGAGAGTAAGTCTTTAATTAAACAACAAAAGCAACTGACTGAAAGAATCTGGAACCTATGGTTAACCCTTTAAATCTTAAGAGTGACCTAGCATCTAATTTCTTCCGACAATATCACACATAAAGGTCATGAATAAAGGAAATGATCTTCAATGAAATAAGCTTTTGATCAGTAAACAAATTTTCCTTGTCAGCACCTTACGAAATGTATCAAGAACAGTATGGAGAATATGCATACTGATGTTAGGATGTAAAGGGTTGAAAGGTATCCTTGTGCAAATTGCCCTTCCTCAGCATAACCACTCATTAAACTTTAATTACCTTATTTGGACATTTTCAAACTCAACCTTGTCCCTATGGTGTTCCCTCTTTAACCAGCAGTAAGAAGAGGGATCATCTAAAGGAAGTTAGCAAGATCTGATAGGAAGATCTACTCCCACTCTCAGGTGAGCACACAGATCTTCAAATGATGTGTCAAACTTTGGTAAATCTATGGGTGATGCTTTGCTCAAAACTTTTAACTGTCTGCTCGCCCTAATCCCATGTGGGCACATCTCTTTTGAGTACCCCTCTACAGGGTTTGGGATAAGAAGAGACTGAACATGCATCAGACTTACCAATGTAGCTATCTATTCACACTGCAGTCATTTCCTTATTTGGAAATTTAGTGGTGTGTCCTGTTTGCAATAACTTTCCCACAATCCACCTTCAGCACAGTACCTTCAAGTAAGATGGGTTCATGGTTCTCAAGGGAAATGGCATAAATTATATGTGGAAAGATATGTGCTTTTGACAGTTACTTTCTAGTACAAGTTACTCACTGAAAGCAGGCCCTTGCTATGTTGCCTGGAATTTTTAAAGTTAGACTCTTACATACAAAGTATGTTTACCTCTATTTATGGGATGTGATTTTAAGGCTGTTTGTGTTCTCTTCTGCCGAAGTCCCTACACATTTGTATTTCACCTAACCCAACTGGGTCATCATTATTGTACATGGAACAACCTTGGTCATTGAGCTTCTTGCCCAACACAATCAATCATTCAAATATGGTGAAAGCGAGTATTTAAGATCCTGTTACTTCAGGTAAAGTGATAATTAATACTCACACAGTTAGAGGAAGAAATGGGATTTCACTGAAGATATATTTGGAGAAAGAAGAAGCCATTTCAAAGATTGCATGATCTTTTTCAGCCTGGAAAATCACCTTGACAGCTGGGTATTTTTTCCTGCTCCCAGTTATTACCTACACCCCAAGGTCTTTCTCAACTATTATGTTTAAAGGTCTGCTAATTCTTCAAGCACAAAGCTTTAGCGGTCACATGTAGGCATGTCTCTTTATGAACCCCTGGCGGACTGGGGTGAAGAGAGATGACAATTCAAAGTCATGAAAGTTTCTTCTCATTTAGTAACTGTTTCATTATTTGGCCAACTAGTAGTCTGTGATGTTTGCTCTTATTTTCCCATACCATTTTCAGTACAGTACTATCAAGGAAGTGGAGCAACGCATCATACCATTTATCCTATCCAAGAGTCAGTATTTATTGCCAGTTAAATGCTCCATAAAAAAAAAGAAAACTTCAAAGCATTGAGGATGTTTCTCCTTTGCATAGGCTTCAGGTTAAGTGGTTACTACAGTATGCCACCGAGATTCCTCAGTTTATGATAGAATTAATTATTTCATATTTCTACAAAAATGTGTTGAACAAGATACTTGCACCACTAAAACTGTCTGCAGGTGCTACAGAGCTTACATAAATATCAACACCATTTATAACCATCATTCCATGGAAAGAGTGTACAAACAATTTTAATTCAAGAGTTGTGATGCATCAAAAAACGTAACAAGTGGGCGCAGCAAACAAGTGAGTTTTTTGACACATAGCAATGAGTGAATAACAATTGTTCAAGCACTTTCTGCTTTCATACTGAGATTTTATCTCACTGACCAACACATCTCAAAGACTGTGAAAATCATTGTTCGTCCAATCAGAGACATGAACAACAGTATCCCAGAATGTGTGAAATAAAGCATATTCTGCCATGAGAAAAATCAGCCCCAAAAAATAATTGTAGGCCCTTGTGACGATCATAAAAAAGAATGATTCTGAAGCTGGAGGCAATGGAAATCATAGTCCTGTCATTATTCGCTGCGCTTGCTTCAGTTCACCAAGTAATACACTAAATTTCTGTGACGTCATGGAGAATGATACAGGTCGTACACTGTGGCTGTTGTTATCTACTTCATTAAACCTGAGCTGGACCTCTGGCTCCACCATCTCATTTAATTCACTGCAGCCTAAGACGAAGTCCACTCTCCACTCCAACCCAGTTAGTTGGTTCAGCTTTATACTACTTCGCAGGAAAGAACTTTGCAAGTTGGTTAAATTTTCTCCATAAGTTTTACAGAGTGCAGTAGAGAGTTCCTTAGGCAAGCCAAGCTGTTGAAGTTCGTTAGATAATGAATCGCTATCCACGCTGTACTTTGCAGCACTTGAGAGTATAAACGAAAGAGCTGCAATTGAAGCTTTCACATCTGACAATTCATACTTGGCATCCGATGTCAACTTCTCAACTTTGGCGTAGTCGATCTCTTCTCCCAGCAAATCTTTGATCATCTGGGCACAAACAAGCCTCATCTTTACAGACGTTATTTTTGAAAGAGTACTTATCTCTGCAAGTACCCAATCTGGACAATCCAAATCTCCGCAGAAGCGAAACCTCATTTTCTTCCTTAGCCGTGCGATCGCCTTCTAGTTTCTTCTGTCACATGCGGCTCTTCAATCTCACGTGACCAATAAACCAAATTTGGAAGAAGAGTGTTTGCCATGGAGCGTCCAGCGACGCTTCCATTGTAGACAATTGAAGAGCGACGCGATGTTAACAGAAAGTTTATTGGCGACAGTTTTATCTGTATTTATCGCTATTTTAGCTGTGGTGATTGTAATATTGTTCGGTAAGTTTGATGGTGTAATGATCTTGTCGCGATCTTCGAGCGCGGAGAAGCCTGGTTCGGTGTTCTACCTGCATGTGGCTTGAACATAGGCTGTTGCAAACCACTTGAATTTTGAATCGATGTACCCTGTCTTAATAATTCTTCTATTTCCCTAAAATCATATTTGTATTCAAAGCCACATTTAGGTTTAATAATCTCAGTTACAAGCATAATCAAAATAGTAACAATTTTGACCTGAGGCTGAAATGTTTGATTACATATCAGGGTTATTTCAAAAGAGTACTAACTGTATTTCATTTTTAAATCTGGAAAAATACCCTTTTACTTCACTGGAAGTGCAATATCATAATAGTTTTTGCCCCTGACAGAACACGTATTACAAACTTGGAATTATTCCTGGAGGTCAGGAATATGTAAAATTTAAGCAGGGTAAAACTGTGTGATCGCACTCACCCACTCCCCCTATCACATAGGACTCTCTATCAACAGCAAGTTCAACTGACCCTATAACTCCCAGATCAAAATTTTAATTATCCTTACTGTTGGCCTTACAATTCTTATAATGTTAGTCCAGAGAATTTAGTATTACATCAACTAATTATCCCCAAAATGATATTTTTCTTTATTATCATCACTTATCTGGTTGATATTGTATTGATATTGTAGGGAGAAATTCTGTCTTGGTCACTCATGGGAGTTGAAGGGTTAAGTAGATACTCTCACAATCAGTTGGTGAAGATTTGATTATTAGTTTCATGCATGATAGAGAGTAATTGAAAGATGGGGCCAGGTTTTGCCATTTTAGCACTTGCCAACTGGTTGTAGGATTATGTAGCCTATTGGAGAAGAAACACTCAAAAGGAACTAAGAAAGTCTAATGGATGTAAAAATTGATGGAAAAGATTCATGGGGAGTACAACCAGGTAAACTTGAAAAGCATAAAATAACTACCCTTAATGGCTTACACATTAACTGAATTGACACATTTTTTGCCTTTTAAAAAGAGCTAACTTTATTTAACAGGATGGTTTTTCGTTTGGAAGATGTTCCTTATTAGATTTTCCTTCATCCGGGAGTTAGTCTATGGCAGCAGCAATGGATCAGCAGGAAAAACAAAAAGTGATATCCCACCTACTCCCTTGAGAAGATCATCACGCATAAGAGATCTTAGAGCAAGAAAATCCTAAGATACACAGTCACTTCAACCTATATCACTACAACACATGTCTGAATCCATGTATTATAACAATGTTCCCAGGTCATATTTTGTTTCTGTAAAATAGCTTGTACACCAGCAAAAGACAAACTCCCTCCACCTGCACAGTGCATGTTATGAATCAAATTGTACTGAATTGTGGGCATTTTAGTTAACCAGCACATAAACAGAACTGAACTGATATGGACTGAGATACATTGTGCGAGATGTCAGTACCTCAATACTCAATGGATGTATACAAGATCTTGGACAACAGAAAGTTCCGAGAAAAATAGATCAGAAAATAACATTGACCAAGATGTTCCTGGTACAACTCTATTCATGCGACTTTGTCTCTTTCTGTAATGCATATTGCTTTGAATTGACAGGAGTATGTAATGGATGTTGGAAATGGTTGTTAGTCACTCAATTATAGTTTCAGTCTATGGGTTTGCAAAGGAACCTAAAGTGGCAGTTAGCCCATAGTGTGTGTTTTCATGTTAGTTTGGTGGATTACTTGAATGATCTTAGAGTCTGTATTAATGAGAGCTGAGGGAGCTTGAAATGGGAGATGTAACAATAATTTCTGTAATTTTTTTCAACTTCTTAAAAGTTGGAAATTTTTGTCTATTTATTTTTCCCATTTAGCATCTAAGTATGATGCAGACTAAATACCAAACACTGAAATGTGATACAAGTTTGCATTTTGCTCATTTTCCAATATGTAAAAGGGGAATGCATATTAGGATATGTGTGAAAGATAAAAAATTTCTCATGTTTCAGTCTTTCAAGGTCCTATGTCCCAACACAGAACAAAGATTTGATTTTTGTCATTCTTTTGAGTCCAGTTATCATTCATTCCCCCTCAAAATAAACTTTGGGGCTCAGGCTTGTCATCATTTTCTAAGCAGTGCTTGGTTGTTGTTAATGCACATCAAGATACACATCCTGAATCCAGATTTCTCCCTCTTTTGGCATCACTCAGAGACAACTTACACACAGAAAGATATTTTTGGAAGCTGGTCATTGGTTATCTTGGAAGTACCTTTTGTTATTCTGAGAGTCAGGTTGCTGTCTCTGACATTTTACATAAGAATGCCTAAGAGCAGCTGAAACAATCATTAGCTTCAAAGTGATTTAGATAGGGAACAGAAGGGAATTTTTAATATTGAACCACCTTCAATCACTAAAAAAAATGATGGTTTCTGTCAAGTGCTAGAAATAAAAGTGTGTCACTGTATGTCATAGGCAATGCAAAATTGCCATAAAATAGCACAGACAAACTACTGAAAGTTCTTAAAAAAGTTTGCCAATGTATGGTGCCTGAAATCAGCACACACATAGATGTTTTGTGTTCCATTAATTTCTTTAGAACAGGGAGAAAATGGTGGTACAGGTTCATTCACTGAATTTGAAATGCTTATGTTACAGTTTTACACAGCAAGAAACAAGCTATGATAAAGTTTTTGATCACCAACTTTCTGTGCCTTTTCTCTCTCCATGAAAAAACTTGTTAACTCCTTTACCAGGCCATGGCTGGCAAAGCTCCCTCTGTGTTTTGTTGGAAGACAACACTACTTTTTTAAATTCAATAATTCTTGACATGTTCCACAGTACATATATGGCTACGGTGGTGATCACATTTTTCTCTTTCCCTGTCTCATATCTCTCTCTCTTTCAAACTGCCTTTCATCAGTTCTTTGAAGAAATGCTTGCTTCTCTAAATATCTACAAAGAAATAGGTGAAAAATTGTATAAAAAACAGGTAATCAGCTTAATGTATTCAAAGCATGACATTATTTTTAGACTGACGTGCACCAAAGTTATGTTACTAATCTAAATAAACTGGAAGGCCCAGTGGTCAGGTGGTTGGCACATTTGATTACTGATTGACAGTTCTACATTAAAGCCCTCACTGGGGTGCTAAGTTGTATTATTGCATAAGACACTATTGAATATAGCTCTCACATTACATCTCTTCCCTTGGGAGTATAAGTGAATACTGCTAAACTATTTGGGAAAAGTGAAAAAAGGAAACCTGGCTAGGGTACCCTGAGATGAATTGGCATCCTGTCCAGGGTAGACTAGCAATACTCCAAGGTGTAGTCAATAACTATCATGGAAACCAATACGAGTTGCAGTAGAATGGGCCACATTCTTTGTGTGCAGACCTCACTTTACCTCTAAGTTAGGATAGTTCTTTTTACATGAAGAAATAACCAAAATATAATGTACAGACCCGTCTTTGTTATAATTCTGAAGCTCTTGGTGAATTCCTTCATGATCTTTAAATGATTCCCAATCCAGCTTTGATTTTTCCTTAAAATAACCAAAATTTGGGGTTTCATTGACCTCCCTCTATGTGATGCCTTTCTTTTAAAATATGGAATGGTTTACTTCAATTACATCAATCAATGTTTTTCCTATTTTTAAAAACTAGCACCAACTCTAACTCATTTTGTGATGTGGAAAATATACATTAAGAGAATAAGAGAAAATCAAAAATTATTATCATGCACTACATCATATGAGGCTCACAAGAAAATTGGTATATCAACATTTCATAATTACTTCACCAATAGAAGTTTGTTTGCTAATATCACTAGTTATAACCCACCCATTAATTTTTGCACAATTTTATTGGCTACTTATGTCACGTGGTGTAAAATTGCCGGACAGGTATCATGCAATAACAATGGCTTTTTTCCTGGCAGTTTTTGCACAGTATGAAAATCAATGCACAGGTTATGAAATGAATAAACCCATCTCTGGCTTGCTGATATGTTGGCTGATAATGTCCTTGGCTGAGAGACTGTCCTCAAAATATCACATTTGCCCTCAAAGCCAAATATTCATTTCTCAGACAATATCTCATCAGCCTGAAGGGGTATATTTACCAAATAATGACTAGGCCACAATCAAGCAATAAATAAGTTCCCAAAACACTCATCACATATTAACACTTACCAGAGTACTCATTTTTGGCTTCTTTGAGATTTGACCTAAAACACTGCTAAGACCTCCTTTTCTTTTAAATCTGAAATAAACCAGTTGATAAAGTTACTTGTATGAACTGGCCCAAACTTACAGCTTGATATGCAATAAACACATTTCAGCTTTCTTGTCTGACATATTTTTCTTAAATAAAACTGTTTCTTACATTAATGGCTACTCTTAAGAAGTTACCCTAAAGAGCCCAAATCTTTAACAGCAGGTTTCACTTCTGTTTTCTTGACTTCTTCTTTCTTGATATTTTTTGCTTCAGTAGAATTGGCATCTACAGTCTTGGTGACACTAAAATACAAAATTTGCTACTTTAAAGGAATAATTAGACATTGCTAAATACAGGTTTAGCTATATTGAGCCACAAAAGGGTTGGGCATTGTCAATTAACTTCTGTAGAAATATTTTATAATCCTATGTGGTACCATAATTTCCAGCTGATTGGCTGCATGTAATCAGTTAAATCATCAGTAAACAACTACTGCCATGTGTGGGAGGGTGGGAGGTCCAGGTTATGTGACAATTTTAAATCTAGGTTACAACACTTTTACAGTGATTAAGGTTTGATACAATCACTTATCAAATATCTTTTCTACAAGACAAAACAAACACTCCTTGCACACCTTAAAGAAAAAATGAAAACAGGGAACTGGATTTTCCTCTACAAGTATTTTACATGCATCTCAAATATGAAAAGTAAACCAATCTACTTATTTGAATCTTAGGTCTTTAATGCCTAGGAATGGACAGATGCTGAATAACATCTGCTTTTGAACATTTGCAATACAGATCAAACCCCTACTATCAACTTTTCCAGGAGCCTTTTTATCCTTTTTTATGGTTTATTGGGTTAATACATGGCAGGGAACAACAGGGTTTTAAATAATTTCTTGAATTTTTCACTAACTTGGATGGAATACCTACACTACAGCTTCACCAGCAAAGTCGTATGTTCTTGTGATAGACACTTTTTCATCTGAGCTGCCAGATGGCTAGATCATAAATGTACAAAAAGATATTTAACATGTAAAGAAGAAGAATTTGACTGTGGGCAATATGTATTTAAAAAAATGGTTGATTTAGCTACCCACACTAGGTTGGTCAAGGCATGTTATCCAATTATCTAGTATACATGTATGTATAGAGTTAACCCAAGGTTATAATCGTATCTCTTAAACTACCTCATATGCAAAATGTACAGTCATATTGTTTGTAATAAATAAATCCAGACAAAAAAAATTACAAGCTTCTGATTGGCTGAAAATTAGTGCATTTTTCATGTAACACTAGCAAAAAGTTATGACACAAGTGCAAATTACAAATAGTGTGCACACTATCAAAATTTTGTCTGTCTTGACTATCTGTGATGCTTTTCATAAAAATTATTAAAAAGTAATGATACCATGATCTCTTGTGCAATTTGGTGTAAACAACCACTTGAACATTTTTCAAAGACTATAAACTGCACTGCCAGACATGCTCCCACAAATTTATGTGCCATAAAATTAACACTGACTATTAAATGTAAATCAGGAGAATTATTTGAATAGTTTACACAATTTTAAATCATGCACCTTTGAAGATTTTGATGGTAACATTCCATTATCCCTTTTGAAAGCAGCCCACATATCTTCCTGTTTCCCTTTCTTGACAGCATCTTCTTGCTGTTGTTTAGCCAAAATTTCTTGTTCTTTGTCTTCATCAACATTGTCATCATTATCATCTGACTCACTATCACCATGTTGTCTAATTAAGGAAAAATATTGTAGCTGGAAAGAATTGTAACTTAATAATTCTAAAAAGTTGATAAATACAACAAAAAAAGTTACAGCAGTTACTGCAACAGTTGAATTGTGTACCTTTTTATTGTTGTACAAATGGACCAGCAAGAAAGGACAAGGTGAAAAAGAAAAAACAAGAACCATGAAAAAAGAGACAGAACTGAAACCACTGGACCACAGATAAAAATGATCTCTTTTTCACATGTCTGAAGTACACTACTTTTAAAGTGATGAATTTACCTTCCCAGGATTTTCAACTGTTTAGATAAGGTTTTAATGTACAAATTCATTTGTATACAGAAAAGTTTCCTCTCCTTACAGGGTTTCCATTGAGAAATTTGGTAGCTCACAAATTAACACTGTAAATTAACAAGAGAATACTCTATACATCTAAATAAGAAGTTGCAACCCAGGTCATCAAAATATAGTTGGGGGAATACAGTGCAGTACACCATATCCTACCCTAAGTACTGAACATCTCAAGCCTTCTGTAAACTTGTAATTTATTATGCCTTTAGTGTCATTTCTCTATATAGATATTGGGCCTCATATTCATTTAAATTAAAATGAATGCTCCTTGCACCCCAAGAACACTACTGAGGAAAATTGTCACAATATTTTATGATCTAGCCAGACTACATTCAGCTTTCATTGAGTACTTCCAGACCAATTAATTTCCTTTCACTTTTCTTACCCTGATGTTTTGTTAGCACCCTTTCTCACTCTGTTCTTTTTATTATCTTCATCTCCACTATACTCTTCATCACTATTCTGGTCTTCTCATAGAAACAACAATATGATCAATAATCAATGAATACATTGTGTGTTTTTTAGATAAAATGTAATGCTGACAGTAGTTACCTAGTTTGCAAAACAGAACTCCTGGTTTCAGACATAAAACCCACTTATTGGTAAGACTTTGTGATAAGCAAAAGGGCCAATTATGAATAAATCAAGCTGGAAGTTTAGACCCATGTGATCTGAGAGCTACAGTAATTCCCCCTACTGATGATGTTGTATCTTGTTCTGATGATTACTATGGCAACAAGTACTAATGTACCAACTGAAATGAAATTACTGTTTGACTACTGAATGATGTAAAAGTACTGTTAGCAAGATGATTGTAAGAGGTTTAAAAGCTAGTTCAATGATCATTGAATAAAGACAGAATATAGAAAGCAATGGAAGAGTGAGTGTCTCGTTACTGAGCCACGCATATATTTGTGGGTGAGTTGTGAGAATTGCTGTATCCAAACAACGATGATGTAAACAAATGATGAAAAAGTACTTTTAGCAAGTAAGAGGATTTTAATAGGTTTAAAAGCTAGTAGATCATTGAATAAAGGCAGAATATAGAAATTAATGAAAGATTGAGTGTCTCCTGACTGAGCCTCACATATGTTTGTGGGTCTAGCTGTCATGGGAATTGTTGTTCTATCCAAACGACAAACTACAAGTAGTTTATAACATGCCTGACGAAAATAAGTGGCTGTGCATTTAAATTGTGAAGAGAATTTCAGTACTGATCAGACTCAGAGTGGAAGAGTTATCATTAATGCCGATCAAAGCAGACTTTACTTTGTTTTTCCATCTCCATCCCTCAATGAATAAATCTTCAGCACCTCGCAGACAAGAAAAAGTACAATCCTTTCTCAAAGAAAAACAGATTAAAAATATTTTTGGGTGATAACGTCTAACACAATTATTCGAAAAGTGGAGATCGTAATTTTAAACGGAAAATAGCAAAATTGATAACGATTCGAGTTGACTTTGGGCCACTCTAAAATTAATAATGCAATGAATGTCACATAACTTGATTGTGACCTGAAGTACTTTATCCTATCTGTGTACAAACTTTTCCTTTCTTTGTAGTTCTCGAGAAAACTATTGCTTTGCCTTTACGATAAAAAAAAAATGCTAACCTGGTACATAATCCTCGTCTTCACTGCTGTCAGCAGCACTGTGATCTGTGTCCGACATTTTCAAACGTCTTTCCACACGAAGTTTGTGGTGTAAGACATGCCATGGTGTCGTGAGCGCGAAAGTCAGCGGATGAACGCTCCCGCTAAGGAAAAAAATCGATAAATCACCGGTAAATGACATGACGTTTTTAAAGCGTTCTGTTTCCCTTTTGTTTCCTCTTGTTTTTATTATGTGCGTGTGTGTAGGCGAGTATCTCACTTATTTTTCTTTTCCTGTTTAGGTGCACTTCGTAGTTTTCAAGTCCGCATTCGTTTGAGAAGGAAACAGTCCCTATTTAAGCAAAAAACATCAAGAAATAAATGTTTAAAGGAGAAAGGAAAAGTGGCCTAATCCGAGTTCTACGAACATGTGGCGCTTATGATTTGCAGTCCTCATGAGGAAGATCACGCGCGCTGCCCGATAAAATCTATCGAGGTTAAGGTTGTTTTACTTTGAATGGGACAGATACGAAATGCATTTCTGATTTTCCCCTTTTCTTCATGTACATATGCACCCCCCCCCCCCCTTGATTACCATGAATGGACTCTCTGTCTACTGCAAGGAATGAATGAGACCCAGTTTGGCTATCAAAGTCCTCTAATCACAGTATTCAGCGTTGACCTGCTAACATTTGGCCATATAAAATCACCAATCACAGAACGGACTTTTTGATTCTTCTGAAATAATGATAAACGTTCCCTTTCGCAGTGGATAACAAACGCAAACCTCCGCGCCAAACTAACGTTATTATTGGTGCTAAGGAGAATTTACCGGGGAAGAAGGTGTGGAGGAATGTATAGAGTAGAGCGAACCATGTTGCGAAAGGGTCTGAAAGGATAGCATGTTGTTTTCGTCCACGTAAACGTCGTGACATTTCGATCTCGCAAGATGGTATCTCCGCCATGGACTCGTTCGTCATTTACACATTCGACCGTATAGCCGCAGGAGTGTGCCAGACTCTTGTGCCGCTATCCCTGGTGACAATCTATTTCACAAGGATCGAATTACTACAGGGGGAGGAGTGTGTATTTTATTTAGATCACAAAGTGCCATGTAAACTCCAAGAATCTTGTAATCAAGCTGAAGTCGGATCAATTTGGATATCAACGAGGCCGCATAGTTTACCAAGGAAAATTACATCAATTGTCTTAGGTGTGATATGCCATTCTTCTGGGAACCGTGAACCTGAGAATGTGATTTTGCGGAAACACATTCAAAGAAATCTTGACATGCTATTATCTGACGAACCAAATGCCCTGGTTATAATTACCGGCGACTTTAATCATCACACGACAGGATTTAAATCAAAAGATATATCTCAAGCCAACCACCTTAAGCAGCTTGTAACATTCAAAACTAGAGACTCGGGTACGCTGGACTAGTTTTTTACAAATAGACCAAAGTTGTTAAGTGTATCGCAATTGCCCAAAGTCGCATCCTCTGATCATTATACCATCTTGGCCAGGCCAATGTTATCATCCAGACACAAACCGGTCATCAAAATAGAGTCACGTGATATGCGTGACACCGCATGGCGTGCGCTGGGGCGCTGAATGACCGAGAAGACTGGTACTCGGTTCTTAATGCTGAGTCTTGTCAAGACAAGTTCAGGCTGTTGATAATGGAACTTACTTCTGCTGTGGATTCCTTCCTTCCACGAAAAATAGTTAAGAGACACCCAACTGACCGTCCCTGGATCTCTAAAAACCTGAAATCCTGGATTCGCAAAAGACAATCTGCATGGAAAGGACTCTGCAAATTACAAATTTTAGAGGAACAAGGTCCAGTGCGAGGTCCAAAAAACCAAAAATTTATACTATCATGATAAATTTGCTCAAGTGGAATCCACTAATTCCAGTAAGTGGTGGAGGCAAATAAAGTCACTCACAGGCCAAGACATCCAGTAGGAGTGGTCCATCAGTTTCTTAGGGATACCATGAATACCAAATTACTTGCAAACAAGATCAATGACCTTTTTATAAGTCTTACAGACCATTTCACAGCTTTGACCCGTGATTCTCCCCCAAGCCTGGTACCACAGGAACTTTTTGTCTCCAACCAGGAAGTGTTCCGATCCTGCCGTTCAGCATGAATCCTTTTCAGGAAATTTCACACCTGACGTTTTCCGCTGGTTTCTTTCTATTAGCGTGACCTTCTAACCTGAGAAAGGGGTTTTCGTCCATGATAGAAGTAAAGAGCCTCCTTACAAAATATTCGTCATTACGACTTTTTCCTTTAAATTTCTCATAGATTCAAGTGGGCAACAACCAGCGACCATCTCTATGGTGTTGGCTAAATTCTCTACTGCTATGACTATTTTAATGAAAACTTTAAATTCGTGGACATGAGCGTGACGTTTAATTATAACTAAGAAAGGGTTTCAATTTCCTGAACAGCCATCTTGGTACAAATCAAGTCGTGTGCCATCAAGCACAAGCTCATGCTTCGTGTCTTGAAAGAGGAATGCTTTTTCCCTCCTCTCGACCCTAATCAGCTTAAAAGTTCAATTCCGCTCCATGTTTTGCCTGATTTCAGAAAAGTTGACTCCTTCTTTAGCCCAACTTGGCAGGTCTGTCTTAAATTCCCAGTCTGGCCCCTAAGATAAACACAATGCATAGGTAAGAAGAGAAACCTTACTTAGTTGATTTCTAGCGGTATACACGTACATCCGAACCAAGAAGCAACACTGAAGTTAAAAGGAAATTTCGAGACCAATTCAAATCCAAGCCACCTGCAGTTTTCGCCCAAGTACGACCCAAATAGATTTGAAAGAACAAGATATGAAAAAAAACAAACAAACAAAATGATGCTACATGCGATTCACGAAAATGACGATCTCTTTCGCAAATGAAACCCCAATATCAAGGAGAAAGACGGAATCCTGAAGTGCTTTTAGTCCTCCATAAAAAATAAACTTTAGTACCAAAAAAGGCTAGCAGGTGATTAGACGCATTCTAGTGAGTCACCTTGTAAGAGAGAGCATGTAAACACATGGTGAGTTCATCAGAAGTTGGATCTCTCCTCTGTATCTGGCATTCACTACAGTCTTTGTCATAATACAGTTCTGTGTTTTTCTCTTCTGTTTCTTTACAAGACTGGGATTCCCCCGGGACAATATCTTTATATCCGGTGCAGACTGGCTTCAGTGATTCATTTTCAACGATAGTGACTGCTTCGTGTTTCACATTGGTCGAGTTTTGTTGATGTTGACGCGAGAGGTCATCTTCACGAAAGGTTCCGCTCTCAGTGTTTACAATGTTTGGAGATTTAGAAAGCTCGGCTATCACCTGTAGTACCAAGAAAAACAATACTATGAAATTAGAGGCCATTTGTGATGTGAAAAAAGCACAAGAACGGTTGAATTACGTTCCTGAATTTCTATCCCAACAGAATTGTACTACCAATGGAAATCACGAGAAAAAGTTGGAAAAAAATGTCCTCGCAAATTGCGCCAATCCAAGGAACTCATCATCAAGCACTCGAAAAGACCATTTTCACTCACTGGTAATTTCTATTAATTCCATGATGAAGTTCATCTATTCAGTCATAGATCACTGACGTTAAAATGCACTACGAGCCGTAGGCGAGGGTGTCACTGATGTCCTTACTACATAGGACGTCTTAGAAGTAACAAAATAAAACCGAGTACTGTAGCATTGAACAGCAACCTGCTTGTTTTACATATACATTAAAAGGAAAAAACTTTATCAAAGATGATGCCATCCATATGTCTGTCTTTCAATGGGTCATACACTAAGTAAATATTCAGTATATTTTATATATCAAACGAAGGATTGACCTAAAAAAAGGTAGTTGTTACCTGCTGGACCATGTGGTCTGACACCCCACCCTTACCCCTGTGGGGTCCCCACGACTGATGGTTGTATATTGGATCATTTACAATTGGATAACCAAGCCACTGAAGATGAACACGGATTTGATGCATCCTGCCTGTATGTGGAACACCTAACAACAACAACAAATACTCTTTCCGTAACATTTATGAAAAAAAAAGGAGTGGGGGACTATAAACATGTAGTTAGAGGTGCAGTCAAGAGAGTTGGTGAATGCCCATATCTTCCCAGAACTAACCTTCACAACACATCAAAGCGTTTACAGCCCATTTAACTTGAATTAATTGTAGGATTTAGTAGAAACGAGCCATCGCAACCAGGTTTTTTAGAGATTAACTCCTTCAGCGTGATAACAGTTTAGAGAGGAAGTCGATTTGCCAAGGGCAAAAACAGTTTTTACTAAACAAAAGAAAATCCTCACCAACCACAATTTAACAGAAGTAAATTTGAAGTTGTGAAATTAACTTATCAATTTTCTGGGTTGTTTAATCAATACCAGTGGGTAACAAGTCTGTTTACTAATAGGCTATTTGGCTGTAACTGAACTATAAACACTCGGGTTCTGAGTAATTTTGTATTGATGACGATATTCAATTCAAAGAAAATTTTTATAGTAGCTTTCACTCCTATTCTATAAATGAAGAGGTAAATGAACTTTTGAACAATTCAGCTCTTAGAAAAAACTTAATACATTACTTGGTATATTTGCACAAGTATTACTTACTTTTCACAATACTTGTCTTTCCGTCATAGGTAAGCCTTTTGAAAACAGTTTTACACGGCTTGCCCTCATTTTTACTCACTCGACACACACCGATCTTGTGTGAAACAACTTTTATTGGCTCCTCACATAGGACTTCCTCACTGAAAACACAACGTGAACGTTTAAAACTTCTCTGTCTAAGCAATCACTTAACCTTAACAATTGATGATATGAGGTGAAAAATGACCTTTCTATTTGAATATCAATTGAGAACTTACACTGTTTTAAGATCCATGTATTGGTACATGGAGTTACACTCTGAAGCTGAATATGACGTAAAGAATGATGCAGAAATAACCTTGGGCTAGAAAAGGGCATGTGATATCAGATCTCCCTGTTGCAGTTCACTTCTCTTACACTTCCCCTTCAGACTTTCTATTGCTTTTTTCAGCCAGGCAGTGCATCCCTCCTCTCAGAAGATATTTCCTTCCTACTCCCTAAGCTCTTGCTCCTCCCCTCTTTCAAAGAGAAGTTTGCTCCAGAGATCATATAATTTTTAACTGTGCCAATAAAAAAAATTAATCAAAAATTTCCTTACAACTTTGTTCTAAGGTTTGAAAGTGTGTCCAAGCCATAAGAAAATTGTCTTCACATGTGTTAAAAATTCAACTTTGGATGCCACCAATTTGACTAGAGCATATTATTGAGTCTTCTTTCAAATGAAGATGCAGTTCTGTATAAATGTGTAGAAGACTAGGTCTTGAATCAAACAATGCCTCTCTTCAATAAAAAAGAAAGCACATCACCTTGGAAATTCTCCTTGCACTCTACTTATGTATTCCTTCTCTATTTGTCTGTTTCTCACTTGACTCTCAAGCTCTTGAGCCTTTGACAGTGTTCTGTCAAACCACAACAAAGATTGTATGGTGATTTTTTTTTTGCATAATCATGATAATTATTACAAGAAAACACAAAGATATATATATACATATATATATTAAATATGTGGCTCTTATCACTTTTCAATATAAGAATCAAAACTTCTGCATTACATTTCAATAAGTTGATAACACATTTCCGCATTCAAGCAACTGGCCATTCATTGTTAACATGGCAAGAGCACTCTCTTCTCCAAGACCTTGATCACATGAGATCACATAATTTCAACTTAATACCTGCATCCTTTCAACTTATAATAAGGAAATGCACAGACTTTTTGGTTAAAAACCAAAAAACCCTGCTTGTGAGCCTGGGCCACAGGATACAATCCCCCTCCCCTTTGTAAAAATGCCCTAAATGGCATTCTTCCAAAGAACCCTCTTGTGAAATCTTATTGCACTAATGTTGCAAATAGTTTATTTAATCAACATTAGAAAAGAAAGTTGTCAATTAGTTCGATTACACAGTCAATGTTAATCAATAATTTTCATTTTCACATCATTAAATTTATTGGTAAGAGATCATCCCACTGTCTTCTTCTTGTTCTCTATTTAATGCAAAGTAGTTCTATTAAAAGAAATAGCTGGCCAAAGGGGGAAGGGGGACTTACCACCCCAATTTTATAGCAAACACTCTAAGTTATCAGGATCTAAAATTAGTATGGGCACAGACCTTGCAAACATCAAAATTCCTGAAGTGAGACGGTCAATACGGTGGATTGCTGTGAGAAAGGAAGCAAAGTAACATTGGAAACAGTTATAATCTTCACATAAACAGTTGTCATTGCATTTCTTAATGTCAGAATGTGCTAACTACAAAATATAATAAAACAACCCACAAACTGACTACATCGTTATGGTAAAAACTTACTAAAAAGATTTTTCAATCCAAACTCCTTTCCAAGAAGGAACACAACAGTGTTGTGCCTGTATCTTCCACAGGGATGTACCTTGGGATCATATTAGCAATGTAAGGTCAAATGGTTAAGTTTTATTAATTGCCTCCATGGATCTAAGCATTTTATAACTGTGAAATATATATAAGCAATTCAGCCTATTCAAGGTAACTGTTATTATTTATACCTTGTTAAAGGGAAGTAATGCTTGTCTTAACCAATGCATTTGAAATTAATGCCAATTCATTCAATCACTCTTTCATATGGGAAATTTAAGAAAAATGTCCTCAAATTCAAACATAGAGGAAATTGTACACAAACAAACACAAAAAATAGTTCTTTGAGTCAAGAGAAACAGAATTGATTTCTGAAGATCATTATAAATTCCCTGACATGAACAATATTCCTGGAATTTTTCCTTAACCTACACATGTAGTTGTGGAGGGAAGCATGCACAGTCTCACCACTTTAAACATTCTTTATACTGATAAAACACCTGCTTTTTTAAAGCATAGTACACAAAATACAAAGACCAAAATACAAAGAAAGAAAGTGTCAAGAATTGGGGGCCAAACATTTGAAATAAAGGTTGCGGAATACAATGAGCCACTTTAACAGTGATTATGAAATTTAGAAAATGAAGATTGATGCAACATAAATCACTGTAAAATTTTCAAATTCAGGAGCATATATTGTAGTTTCTATATAACAATTAAGCATATCAACATGGGTTGTCTGTAATCTGTAGGATATCTACTTTATAAAGTAAACAAAGTTTCCCTGTGGTTCTCCATAAGTTTATCTAAAAATAAAACAAATTTTTCCACAAAAGAGAATTTATTCACACCGGAATTGAAGAGGGTTTATCAAGAACAACAACTTCATCTGTTAAAGCAATTATCTTTATAGGATTCCCTGTCACAGGAGGTTCATGTCTGTTGAAAATAAAAATCATTATGAGTATTCAATCAATAGACAAACAGATGTAGAATTATGAGAATCAAAATTTATAGGAAACAGAGAGGAATAAAGTGAAAAAAGTAAGGACGCAAAAATCAAACCTGTGGACTTTGTTGCAAATCACATCATTGTCTTTAAGAATTTTACTTTGAAGTGTTATTTCACCATTCACTGCAGGAAGACAGTGGAAAAATGTGTGTTATATAAAACTTAAAAGGTTTGTAGAACATATGAGCAGACACTGAAAATGGATTAGAGACCCCAGCTTCCCCCATTTATTTCCTCTACTAGCCAATCACCTTCATCATAAGCTACTGTACACTGTACATTTCAGTGTTCCTAAAAGGTTCCTATAGCAAACAAATACATGTTGTTTTAAATGGCAAAACTGTTGATAGTAAATGTCCCCTTGATGAAACTGTCCCTTTCCCTCTTACATATATGATATTTACTAGAGTTGCGGTAAATTTTGACCAGTTGTCAATGAAATAGTAGTAACTATTACTTTGTTATTACTAACAACAGACTTCAAAAGAGAAATAAATGACTTCAAACCTGTTATTTTTCCAGCTTTTATTGCCTTCTCCTGTTAGAAAAAATTGATAAAAGTACATTTATTCAAAGGCTAATGTGATCTCTCTTCTGCTTCTCTTTAATGATAATCTAGTTTAAAGCCCTAGAAATACATGAACAAAATGTAAAACACAGGAACACTGTAAATATGCAAAAGAGAAAGGAATAAACAATCAAAAGAACAAAGCTACAGCATTAAATTATGATTCCAAAAAACAACTCAGTAATCCTAAAATTGTTTTTCAAAGAGAGTTATGTTTCAGTTGAAATGAAAGGAGTATGTGTATGTCTAAACTGAATCCTTGCAATTTTTGTAAAGAATGCTAGAATGCTGGTAACAAGAATTATCAGAGTGTTCAAGCCACACACAGACAATTAGGGAGGGATGATATAGACTGTAGTCTTACAGGAGACAAGGAATCACTGAGAAAATTAATTACCAGTAATTGCCACTCAATGATCAAAATATGTATTATGGGCTCACTGAGATTGTACCATTGTTACTGACACTGGTTTTAAAAGAGGTGCATCCAATATTCAATACTCACATAGTATTCCTGTGTTTCAGAACGAAATTCTTCTTTAAACACATCAATCAAGCTACGGCCTACCCAGCGTCCCTTGCAGAAGGTAGTGAAAGTGAAATAATAAGGATAGACACATCGCAAACCTAAAACACACAAAGTAAAGGCAATAACTCCAGAGATTAATATCTACAACAGAAAAATTTGGTCTACAGATTCAAAGCCCAGGTTATATACATCTAGATCCAAAGAAACACCTAATAGTATTACTGACGGTGTGATCATTAAATCAAACTATGGAAAAAGTTTAAGAGGAGTCCTGAACATACATGTAATATCCACATTCCAACAAAATAGATTCCAAACAATAGCATTCAAATAATAATTCATAATTTGTCTCTAAATTTGTGGCATCAAGAGCTATTTCTTTCATGATTTTCACAACAGTCTTGTTTTCAAGATGCAGTTTATCCACTGGTGCAAGTAATCTGACCACTCTGTTTCACCTAGTGTTTAAAATTCATTTAAATTTCCACCCCCCTGCACCAAAATTGTGTTCAAATGCCAACAACTAAAAAAAAACTCTTCCCTATTAAACAAATTCTCCTTTTCAGAACCCTAGGAAATGTATATAGAACAGAATAGAGAATATGCATACTGATGTTAAGGTGAAAAGGGTTAATAGTCAATTTTTCATGTAAAAGGCAAAATCACAAACTGTGACTTTCCACACAATAACCAAGACCTTGGCATAGACCTTTTTCTCTGAGTCTATGGCTCATGAAAGTGAACTATTCACCTTAAAAGACCTCCATATCAAAAGATAAAACACATGTATTCTGATAGAAAGACTTGACGATTCCTTTCAAATTCCCCACCTCTCAGGCACAGACCACAGTCAAATACCCATGGGTTGCTGAAAGGGAAGTTAAAACTTTCAACTGATTGAGACATCAACGGCCAGAAACAACAGTAAGCCCTCCACTGCATAATCAGTCAAGACTGTATTTAATACTCACCATTTCTTACAAAACATGTGGTTTCAAGGAATATTTCTTTATCAAATCCTGCACTCTTGGTGTTTTTTTCAACTTTGATAGCTTTCTAAATTAAAGAAAGTGACCAGAAAATAATACGGCTATACATACTACACTGTCAAAATCAATGAGAAAATGGGGAGATTATTCAATTGTAAATCAACTGAATTAACAAGGTGAATGTGCTTCAAACCAAGTTAAGAATAATCAATCATATTGCAGCTAGAAATGAATCCAATATGTATTGAACACCTCCTCCTTTAACTTGAATGTCATAAGGGGGGAGAAAAAAGCCAAATAAAGGACTTAAGACCTTTGGTTTATGCTTTTGAGTCTAAATTTTGCCAAAACAGAATTAAAGTTGATCAGCCCCTGCCAAATATTGCATCTGCAAAAGAAAAATCATGACTGCAAATAAAATTCAAACTTTATGGAAAATATAACCAAATTTAAGAATACAAAGTCACTGACTGTTATTATACAAAGTACATCAATGCATAATCATAAAACCATACCCTCTAGCATTGGAGCCTGAATCAAAATACAGTGAGCCAGATTATTATTAAAATTCACAGAAAAATTGTTTTTAAAAACCCATTACACCACTGTTTGTAACTTTCCTTGCCTGAGTAGCCTGGGATTAATATAAATAATATTTTAACTGTTTGAAAATTTTTAGAAGCTCTATACTTCCAGCTGACAAAGAAAACGGGATGTGGAGTCAGTTCTTCTTGACTCAGAGACACATACTTAGGTAAACGAACAGCTCTTACAGGGTTCTCCCTAGTTTCCAGCAAAACAGGTGAGGGACCTTTTCAAACCAGTTAAGCACATTTGCAGCTTCAGGTGACTGATCATTCCCACCTTTTCATTTTCTGAAGCATACAGTACATTGTGCCTGTCAAAAATTTTCCAGCGAAAAATCAATAATGTGAACGATACACCTTTAGGTTCAGAGGTTGAACAAAACAAAGTAAAATTTTGTTTAAAAGCATTATGTTTGACTATGCCCTTTCCAAACTACTTATGATGTAAACTGGTCTCCCTTTGATTTCAGGTGATATCTTTGGCATCACTTACATGGTATATTGCTGGAAAATCAGCAGTGTCAGCTACGAATTGCATCGCTATGAAATCAAATCACATTGAATAGCTGAATTCGTGTTCTAATCGTCTCAAATTCAGAACTTTTACAGTGCTGAGAGATTTTATTTCAAGGCTTCTTTCAAACCATTGTCTGAAACACATTTCAAGTAGAATTACATGATGAAGACTAGCTTTGTCCCCATGTGTTTGTTATACAGCTGGCAATTGTAGAGCTGTCAAGGCGGTTATTTCTGGCAATTGGCTGGATGTGCCAGAACATGTTTTCCATCGCTAGTACGTAACCTTTGTTTTGTTTACCCCTAAAAATTCTTGTAAAGCTCAGCAGCCACTCTTCGTGACCTCTTGTTACTGGACAGAAACTAAACGACACCACATTTGCACGTGTAGAGAACTGACAAATGTCATGAGATTTAGCAGAAAGCCCGCGAAAAATCACTCTTGCTTCGAAATTCGAAAGGTAACAGTCAGTGTTAGCTAACTAGAGCACACGTAGATCTATAATAGTGCACACGGTTGGCTTGTTATTACACTTTCTTACCAGATTAGCTCACCATAAATGCGTATTTTTTTAGGGTTCTCAGCGTTTGCAGGCGGTAATAAGTGCTCTTGCAAGCGGTAAATTTTACCAGTTACCGCCTGATAAGGAGAACCCTGCCGCCGGCTCTTACTCAAAACAAAGATGGTAATCTTAACATAATCTCATCTCAGGCTATCTACTGACGTATTTATCGTTTTTTTTCCATATCAATGATATCTATGTCCACATGTATGTATGTATAAGATTTAAGTAAAGCAGACCTTTCTTTGTTTCTTTGTAGCTTGTTTTGCTTTCCTTTTACCGGCCCGCTTGCTTTCAGCAACATTTACTTCGTTGCACAACTTTCCCTCAACGTCCGCCATGTTGGTTTTACCAAAACATATATGTCTATGGGGCACAAAATGTCCCAGTCCAAATGAGCCTTGTTCCCAGGATAATTTCTCAATCGTTGGGCCGATAGGTCTGGGATTGAGATAAGCGCAAGCGGGATTCGTATGTATGTAGCACATTCGTATGTTCATGTAAGTGATACACGAAAAGTACAGAGAACGAATGAGTCAAAATGGCCGAGATAGATGAGGTGGAACAGGGTCAGCGTATTCTTGTTATTTGGTCAGGAATTGCTCCTCCGAAGAAGATAGAAGAGCTCGTGGTTCATTTAAACTCATCAGTTGGATCTACGGGTATTGTTGCCGTCGAGAATGAGGAAAGACTGAAGTTATGTAAGTATTTTAAGATGTTCTGATGAGTCATAATGATTCCCTAGTTATTCGATATTATCGTCAAACGATTTCGGCCGATTTATTTCTTGATAGGTGGGGTTTTGGATTTCAAAAGAACCATGCCTAGAAATTCACTTTGATATGATGTGCGATCTTCTGTTAAATGAGACATTTTATATCAAGACATGAATCGCAATGGGATCGCCTCTAATTATTACGTAGTATGCCTGAAGTTAAATATAGAGAAAATAGTAAGTAATTCAAATACTAGTTATTGAGTACTTGATGAGATTAAATCATGAGCCGTCAAGATGGCTATAATTAATGGAGTAACATCAGAATATTGAATAAAGACTACCCAATGTTAATTTCTGTCAATCTACTGTACATTGTAGATTAATTGATTTGTTACAGAGGGCACTCAGTCATGTGGGTGGTTATCTTCTCTTGAGGACTAAATGTATTGATGAGATAAGTTTTAATTCCTTTTTTAAGTTTTTTCTCAAGATACTAGCATGAATGGATACTATGAAGTCAACACAAGTCCAAAAACTAATATTCAATGAAACTGAGAGGCCATTAGCTTGGCACAGTTTTGATTACTTGTTTAATGGCCTGATGTATTCTAACAGCATTTTAACAATGTTCAAAATGATTTTTTCCTTCAGCATCTCATCCAGAATCTTCATTTGATGTTGTTTTATCTGGGATGATGTTTCCTTCCTTCCTGGTTCATGGCCTGGACACTCTGGCAGAAATTGGTAGAATTTTAAAGCCCAGTGGAAAGTTAACTCTTGCAGAGCCTGCAGGTATGTTTATGCTGTGGATATGGTCAAGGAACTTAACTTGGTGCAATGGTACTTATCTTGACCACTTGCTAATAGTGTATTTAATGAAATATTCCTTCAGGTTGACAGGGGATCTCTCATTGTTGTATGTTTTGAAGCCTCTATGCTAAGAATATGTCTTATGATTACAAGAAAAGTTTTATGTACATTGCTAGCATAATAAATTGAATTACAAAAATGATTTGATTTTAAGTATTATTCTTACACAACTTTACCCTGTAACATTAAAACTAACAATGTATTCTGGGATTTGGTTCATGGATACTCTGTTGAAAACATAATTTGCATTTGTCTAACTTTTGGAAAAGAAAAGGTCTTTTTATCCCTAAATGTTTAATCTTTCACATCAGGAACAAGTGGAGATCTGAGGCCTTCTGAAAAACTAATATCTGCGCTGAAACTTTCTGGATTTGTTGATATTTCAGTAGTAAGTACTGTAAATGCTTTCAATTTTAACAATAAAGTTCCTCACAGTTGGGTGTTGTGACTTCCTTTTGGACTTTTTACTTTTTTATTTTTTCAAAATGAATGGATATAAACAAAGAAAGCAGTATAGAGGTTTCGTGTGTTGAGTCTCGTTTCCCATTTCCCTTGCTCTATCATGGTTTAGATCTGGTTTCAAATAGCTAGGAGGAGGTTCATCCAGTAATTTTATTTACATATCAAAACAACTTTCCTCTACAGCCAAAAGAACTGAATTTGAGTGCAGATGAGAGCACTGCTTTCAAGGAGAAATTTGGAGATGGGAAAGTCATTCAGGTAAGTCAAGTGCCCTATGTATAGTTTGTATTGTGGTATGTTTCACTTATTTTTCTCAAAGGAAACAGAAACAGAGTGTATGCTTAGCCAGTTTCTTTAATTATTGGTTTGTTGATAAATATCTTAGGATGTATCTGATTTTATTTTAGATCTCTGCTTTCAAACCAAGTTTTGATGTAGGAGCTAGTTCACAACTTCCACTTTCTTTCAGATCAAAGGCTGGTCAGTATTCAGATTCAATATTTGCTGTTGTGCACATTTCTCTTTAGTTGAAAATTTAAACTAAGGAAAAATTTTTAATCAAAACTTAGATTGTTACCTTGGTTAATTTGAAAGTAATTGTGGGAATTAAAAAATAACATGATTTTGCTCTTACTGGTGACAATTTCATCATATGTCCCTGTTATCTGTTCACTCATCATCTCCTTCCTGTGTTTGTGTGGCTGTATTTATTTCCCTACTTTCCACTTTTGTCCAGTTTTAACTAATCATGAAACAGAGAGGTTTCTTAACATTGTCGTTGTTATCATTCTAAAGTTTGTCAGGTGCTTTGCATAAGATTAGGCAAATTTCTTTAATTGCATGTTTTTGTTCCAATTTTGTCCTCTGTAATTTGACTATTTATTTAACAGCTTTGAAGCCAAAGGTCAAAGATGAAAATGTGACCAAGATTTGGACTTTATCAGCACAAGATATTGATGATGAAGAGATAGTAAGTTATTCATACAGCATTTGAGGATGTGTCTTTGTTATTAAAATTAATTATCTGAAAATGGTTCCAATTTGTCAAATATCATTGTTCTTTATTTCACTGGTTTCTGGATAAATGTTTCTCCGTGAATTGTGGTTGTCATCATAATTTTATTCCTTTCATAGGATATTCTTGATTCAGACACTCTTCTTGATGAGGAAGATTTAAGAAAACCAGATCCTGCATCACTTAAAAGTGTGTTTTACTCCTTCTTATGTGTAGGATGAATAATATATATTGCATATTACTTTTAAAAAAATGTGTGAAAATACTTATTGTTACTGGTCTTACTGGATAATTGATGATCAGTGATGTTCACTACAGGACGCTGTGTTTGGATTTTTGTTTAGAGGGTAGAGCAGAGGTATTTGAATTGAGCTGCTTGCTTATGACATTGCATTACAGGTGATTGTGGTACAAATAAGGCAGGCAAGAAAAAAGCTTGCAAGAATTGGTATGTTGCATGGTATCTCTCAAATATTTTTAAGTAATATGTTTTGAGAAAAGGGCTCAAGAATGATTCTCAATGACGATAACAAGGGAATTTTGGGGGGCTGAAGGAGTCATTATGGTAATTACCAAAAGTATAAACCTGAAAACATGACTAATACAAAGTTTTTACATTTCTTTAAACCTTTTCCTTTGGTCACTGTTGCATCAATTGACAAAATTTCAGGGGTCCTTTTTTTTTGTACTTTTTATGAATGTAAGTCCCAAAGGCATGTTGTTCATCACAACTGTACTTACCATCTGCCTCACAGTGGTTTGGTCTTGTTCACTTGCAGCACATGCGGTTTGGCTGAGGAACTTGAACAAGGAAAGATGCCAGCAAAGAAAACTGTGACATCGTCATGTGGGAGTGTGAGTCCTCCCTTTTTGGAAAGTGGAAAGCACTGACTAAAATAAATTTCTCCTGGTTTCCACCCCATTTTCCCACGTCGCCTTCTATTTAAAAAAACAGTCTTAAAATGGGGTCATATTCATTCTTATACAAATAAGTCTGTAAGGAAATGTTTAATAGTATTTTGTGGTTATTGGCTTGAGTCACACAAACACAAGTTCATGCTGGGGTTAGACTAACAGGTGATTGTGCAAGAGAAGTCACATTTGGACCCTTAACACGTCTACAATAAGAGTTTAGGGCGCTAGTGCATTGGAGATTTTAGGGAGACTGGAGATGAGTGGTAGTGCAGTGTTTGAATGAGTATCCTCATCTGACTAATTCCTGGTTCAGATTCAATGGTACACAGTGATATCTTTTATCAAAGATAATGAATGAGGCCTTAGTGTGATGTCTTTCTCTTTGTTTTAATAGTGCTACTTGGGAGATGCCTTCCGCTGTGCTAGTTGCCCTTACTTAGGAATGCCGGCCTTCAAACCAGGAGAAAAGGTTGCACTTACAAGTCGACAGTTAAAAGGAGATGTGCAGTAAAAACTACATCCGCAACTGAATCTGAAGAATCTCTTCAGATGCGAAACGCATCCTCATTACACTTTGTAGTCTTACAGGATGGCTCTTTAAAGCTGATGCATATGGGTACTTTGATTCTCGGATGGCGGACTTCGTCAGTTGATGTAGCTGTGAGATTACTGTTACGTTTGTACTCTAGACTTAAAGCAATTTTAAAATACAATTTCCATTTCGTATGACGGTTTAAAGAGTGGTACCACTACTCAATGAAGAAATATATTACTTATCTTTCGCATTGCTTCAGTTGAGCAAGAAACCAACTTATTTAAGCAGTCAGTTGTATTTCATATTGATTTACCATCGCAATAAACAACCGGAGATCTTGGGAGGAAACTAAAAAAGTTTGCGAATAACAAATCTAAGGCGATTGATGGATCTCCATTTAACGTATTCATTCGAAACCCAAACAGCTATTACACCAGTAAATCAACTAGTGGGCTCTTGCCTCTAAATGTTTCAGTTTTCTGTGGGATTACTGTTTTTATGCACGACATGTTTTCACGTAGAAGAATATGCGTAGTCACGTTAGAAACCTCAATAATAAACAGGAATGAACTCAATAATTGTGGGCTGTCTTAAATATAATGAACTCTATACTTAACCAGCCTGTAAGTGAGGCGCATCCTCGTCAGTTGCGAGTGGTGTTCTTCAGCCCGGCAAATTAACAGGTAATTAAATGGAACAAAGTCTCGTTGTAACGAATCTTGGTGCAACGTATTAGAAGACCTGTGGCCTTTGCCTCAATAATAATAAAGTCTATAACATGACAGAAACGACAAATGATCAAACTACCTCGATCTCTCAGCACGTAAATAATAACCTGTTAACCCGAAATGAAAGGTTTAAATCAAAAGGGACCAAGAATGGCTGAGAAAAGAGAAGTTAATGGCAACATAACTCCAAGAAAAAATTTTCCTACATCAGTTTTACCCGCCTTATAAAAGTAAAAAAAGAAAATGAAATTAAGGTTGCCTACGTCGATGCAAGTGGAGTGACTAATGTCTATCGTTCGCAATGTAACATTTAACATCCCCTTTAAAAAGGCACTTTGCTCAATACGAACCTGAGTTGATCGTATTCATAGTCTGGGTGTGAGTGTGTGTGTTGTCTCTGTGTGTGATTTGTTGTTTTTGTCGTTCTTACTTGATTCTTATGATAAACTACACTCAGTTTGTCGCTAATCATCACTAAAGGCATCCCGTCAGTCATTCCGAAAGTCATCTCGCCCGAAGTCATGTTGCACGAGACCTGAGTCATGTCGGTCGAAATCCCGAGACATGTCGCCTGAAGAAAAAAATAACTTGAAAGATCAGACTTACTAGGTAATAGGCAATGAAGTTGAGAAATCTTTATCACTGACGCGTTGTTCGTTTCCGACAACACCATGAAGACTTCGACTACACAGAGAACAATCCAATGGCGAAAATTGAAATATGTTTGAGTAACGACACTAAAAGTGTTGTTCGTCTCCAACAACAAAGTTAAGGGTTATTAAGTATACTCAAACATATTTCAATTCCGAGCATACGATCGATTTCTGTGTAGTCAAAGCTTTCATGGTATTGTTAGAAACCAAGAAAAAGTTTCTCAAGCTTACGAAACGTCCGTGAGTAAGAAGCGATTACATAGCAAACGAACAACGCTGCATTTTGTTGTTGGAAACGAAAAACGTTTCCCTTTGTTGTTAGGAACGAACAACACTTTAAAAATCTTCATAGTGTTGTCGGAAACAAAGAGCGCCTTAATGATAAAACTGAATTTCTCAACGTTATTGCCTGTTAACAGTCTGAAACTCAGATCTTTTTAATGTTTTTTTGTTCGGGTGACTTGACTTTTTTTTCGGCGACATAACTAAAATTTCGGGCAACATGACTCAGGTTTCGGGCGACATGACTTCTGGAAAGATGACTCTCGGGCGACTTGATCGGTTACCTTGTCACTGTAGTGTCAATCAAGTGATATGCATAACACTTGATGGTTGAAGTGATTTTATGCATGGGCGAGTTGGTCCGTGGACACCTTGATCGGATACCACACCAAAAGGGTTGTTAGATTGATCGGTCTCTTGAGCGCCTTCTCATGATTTGCCACTTTTATGTTTTTACATGTCATAAAAAAATGGGCATGTCGACTCAGGATTTCGGGCGACATCATTAAAAGTTTCGAGCGACTTGACCGTAAACCCTACCGACAACCGCCCTTCTCAGCTATATGCTCAACCGGAGGATCAGACCAAACTATCACAAATTGTTCTTTTGTGAAAATAAGAAAGCTTTCGAGTTAATTCTTTTTCAAATGCCTTAGTTTGTTTTAACTATACCGTGCTCTTCTCCATTCTACTCTTGCCAAAATACATACTGTACTTCTCATTGTACGTCGTGAATCTTCTTCATGGTAGCAACCTTGTCATACTTATGAATGAAAGAAATAGTAAAAATATTAATACTGATGAATTATCATTAAGTTTTAAGTTTCGTGATGAAAAAGCCACGCGTGAGCATAATTTGTGTCGGTCTATAAAAGCCCCTAATTTGCATACTGTTCGTGTAAACGTGCACAGTTGAGAGGACCTATACATTTTTTCAGTCAGTAAAGTATTTTTCAATAAAGTGATGGAAGATACGATGAAATTGCTTCAATTCGGTGATATCGCCTGTCATTAGTTTCCGCACGCTTAAAACTATAGCTGTAAATTTTTAGTATCCCTGCTTGGAGTCGGTACACAGTTCTCATCTTAATCTGTCTTTAAAATCTCTTAGACGCTACTAAACTGGAGTGGTTTCTTCATTAATTCGTCTAACTGAGTCTTATTGTTAACCATACTGCCGCCCAAAGGTCACAAAATAGCACAACAGAACTTTATTTGTAAGTTACTCGTTTGACTTTTCACTTACTTGTTGTACATCGACAATCAACATCTATTTACCGAGGTTTCAATCGTTACTGTATGTTTAGACAGGTACGAATCTACTAGCAGGTTTTGAACGAACCGACTCAAATTGGGTAAGAATCGTCCGAATTTGGATACGAATTGATTATGTAGGAAACGACTGCATACCAAATCAACAACGTTTTCCTTTGTTCTTTGAAACGAACAACGCTCTTAGTGTCGTACACATTTCAATTTTCGCCATTGGATCATTTTCTGTGCAGTCAAAGTCTTCGTGGTGTTGTTGGAAACGAACACTACTTGAGTGATTTATTGACTTTCAGATTCCGGGAGTTATGATTTAGGTTTTGGGTTACCTGACTGTGGGTTAGATAACTTTCGGGCAACTTGACCGGTTGCTCTTAAAGACAGATAATTTACAACTTCAGACTATCTGCTTTACAGCATTACGACTCTAGGTATTTAAACCTAGATTAATTATAACTTTGTTATGCGTGCGTGTTCTCGCCGAGGGACCCTGGGGAAGAGGTTAATTGCGCCTCAGGAAAGGAAATCTACTTCATGTAAACTAAACGTTGCGTTTCTTCAAGACCTTAAAACATGGGCAAGAGGAAACGGAGGGTGAGTATGTTATCTATCTATCTATTTATCTATCTCTCTATTTCATCAGGCTCTACTAGCATTCATATTTTTACTATTAGCTTTGTTTTGAATTCGTGGTGCAGCAAAAAAGAAATCGTCAAAACACGCTTCTAAGGAATTGTTAGAGTTGTGATAAGATCACCGGTGTGTCTCAACTCTGATTTTAGTCATAAACGCATTATTTATTTCCTGGCCGCGTTGGTGTAGAAAAACACCTCACCTCCTGATTAGGGCTGAAAGAGAACATTCTCAATAATGATATTCTCGATCCTTAGCAGTAAATTTTCGGATTATTATCGAGACATCTTCAAAGCTTAGGCAAATTTGGCCTCATTTTATGAGCGATACCGAGGTTCTACATGGTGAATTTCAATAGTGTGAGCCCTTATCTTTCGTTAATAACTGACTTAGTTAGGCTGATTGAAGGGAGTTACATTTCTCAGTCACCCAAGATTTATGACTGAAGTATGCTATCCAACATGGAACTCGCTTGTGGCCTATATAAAATGTTATTTTACTCTAAATATTAATTTTAGCAAAATTGTTGAACTTAAACCTTCTGAGATTCAACTGCGAGTATATGGTTGAAGTTTCTTTCATTATGTTTATAGGAGAGACCAAGACGTGGAAACTGGCTTAAGAATAGCCAGTCTACAGATTGGGTACAATCTATCCGAAAGAATGATTTATTTGAGGAATATTACAAGGTGCAGTATTGTCTTTGGCCTCAGTTGTATATGGTCTTATTCATTTCCAATCCCAATAAAGGTGTTCTATAAGAGAAGTCCACTCTTGCTGAGTCAGGAAGTCCTGAAAGCCCTGAGGACAAAATGAGGGAATGGTTGAATGGCAAAAAGACAGAGTGACAGAAAATAACTTTAAATCCTATAAATTAAAAAAAAAAATGGCAGAAAATCACCCCAAATTCTGTAAGAAAGATTGTTAAAGATGATTTTTTGTGGTTGTTAAGGTGTTAAGTGGATTAACAAATTAATATAACTCTTTCTGTTCTTGCAGTTAGGTTAGTTTTGAAGAACATTAGCTTTAATTCTCTAGACCTTTGCTCTAATGTGTATGTCTGTGAATGATTTCCCCCCTTTCGTGTAAAACTATTGGAAGCTCTTTTTAAATCTCCCAAAGCTGAGGCTGCTTCTCAATAATTTGCCAGTTGCCCAATAGAATCTTTTCAAAGATGGTTACTGATGGGTTTTATTGTGTAACAAAAGGCATTATAGCTAGTAGCACTTTGTTTAGAGTGTTGTTTTCCTGTTTGTAGAATCAACCTTTGTGAGAATTCTTTCACCAGATCATTTGGATTACCCCTTTGGTGTAATTACGACTTGGAGTGCTGGATGTTCTCTTCAAAGACTGATTTTGAATTATTAGTTCTTAGATCTCTGAGGACTTCTCCTTCAATAAATCAATTTGTTACGCACTAGTAGGAACTAAGCAAGAAGTTTCATAGGTTTGAAATGTGTGGACACATCAAAAATAGATTTCTCATTGAATCGTTTGCCTTCAAAAATTGTGGCATGTAGAAAGTTAATATTTTCTTCTTATATATCAGCTGTGAATTTAATTGTAGAATGATACCTGATTGCTTCTAGAACAAAGTGGTTTAACTCTGACTACACTCATGCAGGACATTCAATATGAAATTTTATGTAGGATGAGTCAGGATTTGGGGTAATTTCTGGCCATTCCATCCTTTAGGATTTGGGTAATTTTCAGCCATTCCACCAATTTGTCATTCTGCAACTCCAACTTTTAGGGTTGCCCACTGAATCATGTTAGCCTGATTCATTGGTGTTGTATTCCATCTCCTGAGCTAGTGATGGTACAGCCAGACAGCATCCATATTGAGGGTTTGACAAGGTTAGGTCATCTCAAGGTAGTCTGGATTTATCCTGTAGAACTATAGATACAGTGGAACTTCCATTCAGAGGATGCATGTGGGACTAAGAAAAGTTTCCAGTGAATAAAGGTGGTTGGATAGGGCTTTATTGATAATTAAACACAAAAATCTAAAAAAATGAGCTGGTTGGTTCAAAGTTGATTGAATCCAAAATGTCAAACTGTTACTGCCCCTGATGAGTGCCTTCATCACTGAAACTATTTTTTCACCTGGTGGTGCTTTGTCTCTGGAGGAAGTCAACTGAACTGATAACTCTTGCCGCACAATTCATGTCTGTCATAAAAAGGCATATGTTGTTAAAAAGGTCATTTTGTGAAAGCTGTCATCATAGTAATTATCAGTACTATACACTCTTTGGGGTCATTCATGTTATGACTGCTAAAGGTGTCTACTGAATGGTGGTTAAAAGTGGGCTTTGGGACCCAGAATAAGTAATCCTTTCCCTGAATAGCAGTGTCCCTTTAATAAAGGTAACAGATGTAAAGGTTTCATGAACATTTCTCCGGGATCAAAGTTTTTGTCCTCCCTGAAGGACACCCCATGAGATGTCTCCTGAATAGAGATTTCAGAAAGGAGATGTTCCAATATAGTATAATTCTCAAGTGCAAATTGATAAGAATTGAATTATGACTGTTTTAAATACAATATATGAAGTTCATTATTTTCATTGTCTTTGTCTTGGTAAATTACTTCAGGTTATAAAATATGCATGGTATATGGACTTTGACTGATGGAGAAGGTGCACATTATCTTTATTAATACAGTCATGTGATGTTGTCTTTTCCAACACAGACTCTTAATATAGTTCCGGAAGAAGAGTTTCCTGCATTTATTGCAGCTATGCAGTCAGAGCTTCCAAGCACATTTCGCATCACTGGAACAAGAAGGTAAAAAATTACATCTATCTTATATATTGCACTCAGTTTTTTTGTAAGAAGTCATAAAAATTATCTCCTATTAATTACCCCTGATCATAATGTATTGGATAATGAACAATAAAGAAGACAAGTTTGGCTGAAGAAGATTGAGTTATATTTTATGTGGATTGCAGTTGCAAAAAGCTTAATTTGGTATTTGAAAGTTTAATTGTCAGACTTTCATCCCCAGGCAGGACCCATTTTTAGGCTATTGTATAGTGATCCAGGTTTTATTTTATTCTTTTGCATATAACACCATTAGCAACAAAAGGGGGGAAAGACATCTTGATCTCAAGAAATACAGTTAAAAAAACTATAGTGGCTCAAAGAATCAATGTTTAAAAACCACAAGTCATTGACTATGACACATTTTGTGTGCCATTTCCTTTTTGTTGATAGTCATGCCCAAGACCTCTTAAATTGCATCAGGAAATTTTTCCTTGATGATATGCACAATATTCAATGTGAAGGAGGAACAGCTGACCCACCAACACCTCTTTCTTGGTAAGAATATTGCTATCTGTCACAATTGTAAGATATTGCCATCACTTGGAAAATACATGAAAGTCTGAAAAAAGTACAGCAAGTTCTTAATAGAACTTAAGGCTTTACTGGTAGCCTACCAACATTTTTGTCAGTTTCCTTTCACCAATAACACACACATCCACACACATCCAAGAAATGATAATCAAAGACAAAGTGAGGTTATTGTCTGTAGTATTGTCTAGTATATTTTATTATTTCATTACAGGTATCCTGATGACCTAGCCTGGCAAATCAATTTAACGAAGAGATTTATCAGAAAATCAGCATGCATGGAAAAGTTTCATAATTTTTTGGTTCATCAAACAGAATCTGTAAGATAAAATTTTATTATCAGTGGTTGCTCTTGTAAATAAAAGGTTAATCACTTAGTTACCACTTCACATCCAGTTGCCTTTATGTAATTTCATCTAAAGTCACAAAACACACATCTTTGTTGATGTAGCCTGTAAGGACAATAAATTGAGGTTTCCCTAATTCATACCTTGGTGGTTGATCTTATTCACCTTTGAACGTTTGCTACTCTTGGATAAGTTAACTCCATTGTTTTAGCCTTCCAATTACAATATAGAGAAACCAAATTATCTTTACAGGCTGTTATATAGTTGATTCTATTTATTTTTTACCTTCAGGGAAACATTAGCCGTCAAGAGGCAGTCAGTATGATTCCTCCTTTGCTTCTAGATGTCAAACCAGGTCAAAAGGTTAGCAGTTTTGGAGCTCAGATTGAGTCACAGAGTGACATGACAGTGGTCTGATTATGTAAACGATAAATACAATGCTTGAGCAAACTTTTTTTTAAATAATTTGATAGCAGGTTAATATTCTGGGCATGATAAGTAAATTAATTTTTTGTTTGAATTTTTTTTAATGTCTGATAGTCTGAAGAGTCCATTGTCTCTTGCCCCAATCTGCAGGAAGACTATCTTCTGCCTGAGTGCATATCAAGGAACTGGGGCTGAGTGCATATCAAGGGACTGGGGCTGGGACTTAATGCATATCAAGGGAATGGGGCTGGGGCTGTTGTTTGAAAAGTGGCTAAGGCTATCCACTGGATAAATCCCTATTCGGTGGATGTTGCAGTATGTTTTGTTAACACTTAACTGCTGGATAGTGATTTTTCTTAAATTCAGGTGAACTAAGTGATTTTGGTTCCTTCTTTACAAGTAGATGAGTGTGTTAGTTTTAGATTTTATGCACCAAAGCTTGATCAAGCTAGATGCATTTTCATGTTTTTTAAAAAGGAAAGAGAAAAAACAACCTCCTGGACTGTAATTGAACTGAATACATGATTAATTTTGACATAGATACTGGATGCCTGTGCTGCTCCTGGCTCCAAGACTGTTCAACTTATTGAACTTCTTCATGGTGAGGAATCTCAAGGAATTCCTGGTAGGTTGTGTCATTCCTTTGTACTGGTGTTCATGTTGTCCTTGATTATTTTTCCTTTAAAAATAATGATTAGAGTCTGTCTGGAGAAGGAGCTATTCTTAATCAGCTCATAATAGTTTCAACTCATACATGTATTAAAATTTGAAAAATGCTTTCATCAGGTCAAATACTTGTAGGTCAGTCATCTTCATCGGTTAAGAGTTATCTTCCAGTAAAATCTTGCATTTGGAAATTTCTGAATTGCTGTTTCAGGCTCACTAAAATTTTTTCTTTGTTTCTTTCAGATGGTCTTGTTGTAGCAAATGAACTTCAGAACAAGAGATGTTACATGCTTGTTCATCAAAGCAAAAGACTTAAAAGTCCATGTTGTTTAATTACAAACCATGATGCATCTCTTTTTCCTGCCATGTTTATCAAAGGAGTAGGTTGACTTAATATTCTTGTGACAAGTATTAAATATAATATGATCCTTAAGTTATATCAATATTTACATCTTCTAAGCACTAATGTCTTTGTAAAAAATTGCCAATAATAGATACTTATTTTAGTAGTATAGCAAAGTAAGATTACACTCCTATGTAAGAAATTTTAGTTGCCTGCCAAGAATCGGCTTAATTTACCTGTGACTCAACTGTGACAGAGGAAAAATCTAATTTAATTTGCAAAAGTTTGATAAAGAGCTTCTTTTTTTGCAAGGAGACTTAATTTCAGAAGAGGAGAGTTGCATTTGTCACTGTTGTTGTACATGTTTAGATTGTCTTTGTGTGTTTTGTTTTGTTTTTATTAGGAAGATGATAAAAAGATACCAGTTATGTTTGACAGAATTTTGTGTGATGTCCCATGCAGGTGAGTTATCAAATAATTTTTCTTTGTTAATACCTTTCTCAAAGTTTCTCAGTGTCAACCCTAAGGTAACTTTCTTTTACAGTGGAGATGGAACTCTGAGAAAAAATCCTCAGATATGGAAGAAATGGAGTCCACAGCTTGGCTTAAGTTTATTTAGGTTTGTATGTAAAATTGAATTGTTATTGTGGCTTAATGGATAACCCATTTTTGTAAGAAAAAAGAACTAAAGATATTTTTCTTTTCAGAGTGCAGCTGCGCATTTTAGCCCGAGCAGTAGAGATGTTGGCAACTGGAGGTCGCATTGTATACTCCACTTGTACTCTTAATCCAATTGAAAATGAGGCAGTCATCTGCACTTTGCTACAGAAAGCAGAAGGTGCTTGACATAGTATTTCACCGGTCAAATTTTGAATTTGAGTTTTATTTCTCTAACCTTTTTACTCCTAAGATCTTATTTGTAATTCTTGGCACTGTCTGTCATATAATTCTTATGATATTAGTTCAAAAAATTTGTTACTGGATCAATTAATAATCCCCTAATAGATACTTTTCTGTATTCTTGTCAGTTGTTTGCATGATATTTTATTGACATTGTAAGTCCAAATTCTTTCTTGGTGACTCATGGGAGTTTAGGTTTAAAGCAGAGCGAGAGTTATTTGAATATTTTATGTCTTATTCCGAAATTTTGCTTCGAGAAAACAGAGGTAAAAACTGGCTCCTGCAAGGATACGTGTATGACACTATGTATTGTTGTCTAGGTGCTGTGGAACTTGTAGATGTATCATCATATCTTCCCAAACTAAAGCGATCCACAGGCTTGAGGACATGGAAGGTAAAATGAAAAAACTGTTTGATTTGCTACAAGCTTTCAGATGAAATTCACATATGAAGTCAGTGACCTCCTTTTACTTCTAGCTTTTCTATTGTATTTATTACTTGCAAGTGGACTGTGATCTAATTTCTTTGGATGGAACTCAACCTCTTGACTACCTTAAATATTTTAATTTCAAATTGATTTTGTGTGTAATATGGTTTCTTAATCAAATCTTACTTTTTGTCATATTCACCAGTATTGTCAAGGCATTAACCTTTCTACTTCTCCTTATTTCAAAATGACACATTCAGATTTTTTTAGATGCAAAGGAAGTTTCCATAATGTCATCCTCATCTTCCAAAAATTATTTGATCAAATTTGTTCAACACTTGTTGGGTCTTGGGATGAATCCAATTTTAAACAAAACAGCTTTACAACTATATGATGGAAAGATATATACATTAAGGCAGAGAGAGCCTCTGTAATAGAGTGAGTATGAAGTGATCATCAAAGGTATCAAAATATGGATTAGGAAAGCAATATTTTAGATGGTTTCAAGGTTGTTGCAAGGACTTCAGTGATTAACTCTCAGTCGTGTGTCTAGTAACATGTTACAGCAATGAAGTTATAGATTGCATTTATTATGCTGCATGTTGTGTTCATGTATTTAACAAACATGTTGCTTAAGTTTTAAATTGTTTCATTGCAGATCATGACAAAAAACATGAAAATTGTTGATAATTGTGATCCAGGTACAGAATTTTTTGCAAAAGGATTCAAACCAGAAATGTTACCTCCATCAGAGGATGTTATTGAAAAACTACACATAGAGAGATGGTGGGTAGATCTTTGTTGTGATGTAGTTTTCTGATAGGAGACCATTATAGAGTATAAAGTTCATTAGGTTTTTCATGCACACATTGCTATGTAAACAATTCCACAGAATTATTTTTTTGACAGTTATATAATTTTTAACTTTGTAAGATTTGACTGAACAACAGCAACCCATCTATTCCACTTGCTGTAATAGATGGGTTGCCAACAAAAAGTGATAATATCAAATAATGTATTTTATTACTAACACAGCCTCAGGTTACTTGTAAGTAGGTGCAGTGGTCTGTATTAGTTTTGTTATCAGTCATTAATTCTGGGAAAGCTGATTAATTTGATTTCATCAAGATAGTGGGGGTTTCTAATTTATTCTTGCAACTGTTTCCTATGATGACTTAATGTGGACCCAGTGATTGGTAACTACAGTTTCCTTTTATTAATTTATTTCCCACACAAAATGTATATGAACCAAAGAGGACTTTGAAGCAAACTAAACTTATATCAGTGTGAGAACTAATAAGTCCACTTGATTATGTCTTCCAAAAGCTAATGATTGATTCTACAGATTATATACCAAGCTCTCTACCACTAACCCGTTACTGCAAATATATTTTTTTCTGCCAGCTCTCCAATAATGCTGATAAAGCCATAGGAAACACTTCTATACAAAAAAATCAAAACGGCCTTTTGAGTTTCAAGGACTCTGGTCAAGTGGCGGAATGTAATTTATGTTTACCAGCCAAATTTGGCTCTTAAGAAGTATAAAATACGATTGATCAATAAAATGTGGTAAAGTTTGAAGTCTTTAAAGCGAGTTTGAAGTCAAACAAGTGTCTTTCTTGTAATGCAATACTTGTTACTTAGAGTTAAAAATGGTCGAGAGGATTATTTCTGTAAGTGACAATCATTGTTGAATGAACAACACGCGTGTGCCATCAGGGTCGATACATTGAAGCACATTACTCTGATATTCTGGATATTTTTGGCTGACATCTTCCATAGTATCATGATTAGTTTTCAGATCTTCAAATCGTTGTGTATCGACAGTGAATACAAGAGCGCCAAAGCCACTTTGACGGTCCAAGTCTGGATTGTTAAAGTTGCAGCGTTTTACAGTCCAGTACTGCAACTCGAGGGTCGTATAGGGTCTTTTCCAAAGCCACTCTCGGATTTCTACAGCATTCACGTCATCTGATGGTGGTTTTTCATCTGTACAAGCCAAGAAATAAAGATCAAACATGTCTGGAATGTTTTGCCTTGAAAGAAGTTTCATGCCTAGTGAAGACTCGTAGAACCTGAGGGATTCTTTGATGTCGGAGACTCGAAGAGTTATTTGACCCACGTGTGTTTGCTGACGTAGAGCGAAGGTTGGATTAAGAAAGCTTTTTATCCGCTCAGAACAGAAGTTACTTTGGAAATCACGTTGCAATAGTTCTATGGAATACCCAAAAGGGTCGCTCAAGTGACATAGGTAGCCAATGTCTCGAAACTGTCTGGGTTGAGTTACATCGACTCCGTGGCTCATAAGCTGTGACCGAGCAGTGTCCACATCAGCTAGAGACAGTCCAATCTTCCAGTACACATCTTGAGATGGTTTGGGTACGTAAAGCTTGGGTGGACTGGATTGCTGAAAGTGAGATCGAAACTCAATACATGCCGACTTCGGGTTATTTTCGAAACCAACCCAGTGTATCAAATCGGTTTCGCTTCGCATCTCTTTTAGCACACTCATTCCCAGTCGTTGACAGTACCACTCAATAAGCCCTGTGGTGGCAGATGTATCCACATGGAGTCGGGGAAACGCCAGCTTCATTTCTCTCAGTTATCTTATCGCGATAGAGAGAAGTGATTATCAAAAGTATTTTACCTTCATAGCTCCTTCGTAGGAAACAATCCTCGACACCAGTCTCTTTCTTTGGACTCGCACGCAACAAGCTCCCCCACGAAGGAGGGAGCGTGTTACATGTAATCGTCCTTGTAATCTCAAACGGAGAAATCGAGGCTAAATTTCTACCAAACTTGCGTTCCACGTAGCATGTTTGATTCAAGATTTTTTTACTTTTTTTTTTCTTCTTTTCACTACTGGTTTTTAAGAATAGGTTAGAAACCAGTCAGTGAAGAATTTATTGTTTTCACCACTAACCTGTCTTTCCTAAGAACACTTTCTTAAATCATACAACCCAGCTTTTTTATTAAATTTTTTTTACCTAATTATCCTAAAACTTTCAGATTTCCTCAAACCTTACACCAACCTGGCATGGTCCCGATCATTTTCAAGCTGTAGCAGCTGAACAGACTTGAACAGTGGAATGTTTCCTCTTGAGTGTATTAGCAAGAGCGTAGTCCAGTTCTAGTCTGATACTTTTAACTTTGCAGTGTGAGAATATATCCCCATCAGCAGGACACTGGTGGATTTTTCATCGCTGTTCTTGAAAAAAAGAAGCCATCACATTGGGAAAATGGAAACAGGTGTACTGATAACCCGAGGCTACTACCCTGGGAGAGCATGGCAGACTGGCAGGTAAGATTCTTTACAGTAAAACACTTCATGTTATCATGGTAAATAATTATACGTACCTTCCCTTGTATATCTTTCCTCAAATAACTATAGGATCTCATAGGTTTTTATCGTTTTCTAGTTACTTGAAAATTCTCACAAAAGTAGTGCAAGTCCACACATGTTTTTGTGACATTCATGCTGCAGGTTCAGAAGTGCCATTTATTGGTCATTCAACATCTCTGTTCTTCCCCCACTGAGCAGGGCACTATATAGAGCTCTGTGATGGAGATTGTGTTTTCTACGAGTTCCCGATAAAACATTCCCGTCCATAGAATAAATCAACAATCAGTTCTTTGCATAGTTTGCGTTATTTCCTTTATTCTGCCATCAGGAGACAAAAAATTAACATTAATTATTTATTTCTTTTGAAAAACCGGATTCTAATTTTTGGTTATAGATTCTAGCTTACAAAATTACTTTCACTGGAAAATTTGTCTGTATGTTGCTTCATTTTACAGGCGAGAAAAGAGGCAAAATGCGGAAAACAGGAAGGTAAAGTTGCCTCACGGACGCCTAATGAGACCACAAAAACTGACTCTGATCAGAGTAATGTGAAACAGCAAACTGAAAGAGGGACAGAAAGGTCAGAAGAGCCTGCTACTTGTGAACTTGGCATCAACAATCAGGTTGATAATGATTATTGTGAGCAATCTGCAAGCACTAATGAAGTTATGGACTACGAACAAGACGAGTCCGACAAACTTGATGAACTGGTTAATGACGATGATTCTAACGGTGAAAAAACTGAATTAGATCTTGCTGAAGATGGAGAAGCTAACAGGTTGACAAGTGAGAGTTTTGAAGAACACGACAGCACAGAAAATGGTCAACAGGAGGAACATTCTTCAGGCGGAAACAAAGAGAGTGATAACGGCACTGTCAACAATTCTGGAGATTCGTCGCAAGTGTGAGTAGTGGTTATTTTGTGGATCTGTTGTTATGAAAAGCTTATTTGAATGCGATAAAAGACAGGTAAATTTCGCTCCAAAACATACACAGATCAAATTTAATCAAACGTGAGTTGTTAATTAGGGATCTTATTTCAGTGGAAGAGTCGTTTCATGAACGTTCTTAGGTGAACCTTCTTTGACTGAATGAAGATTAACGTCATATCCATTAAAAGTTTCGAATACCGACATCCGGTCCCTAGTGGATCCAGTCATGTGTTCTTTCTCGTGCGAGGTAGAAGGGCGCTTATTTCAAGGAAGGATCTCACTTGTAGCGGGATGCATATAACTTAAGTCAATATTAACTGTCATTTATGGTTAATTGTTCGTTAAGAAACTATTAAGCTGTGCCGACGGGCAAGTGAAACAATAAGTTTATTAGAACTTGATTAATGTAGGGTATTTCGATAGTCGGAGCAAAAAAATATTGTTATTTCCGATCTATTCACCCTAATTTAGGGCTAGCTTCGAAACTTTAACTTGTGTGGCTGGTGGGTTTTTGTTGTTGTTGTTTGATGAAAAAGAAGGCAACGGAGCACAAAGGTGCACATGATACAACTGAACCCCCCCGCCCCACCCCTCCATGGTAAATAATAAACCCAACTTGTTTTGCCTGTCTGCTGATATAAGCTGTACAATTTTTGCCTCTTTAGTGATCAACCACCAGCGAAAAAAGCTAAAGTGGAAATGAAAGGGTTTAAAGAAGACCCATTTGTATTTCTCAAAGAAGATGACGAGCACTGGCCTCAAATTAAGTAAGAGATTACTTAAGTAACATAAGGGATCGTACGTGAATTAAAAGGCTGGGATATTTTGAAACAAGTGGATATTGAAACGTACCATATTTCACTAAAAATAAAAACGTACTCTAACGTATGCTGTCATTATATGGAGACTTCATACCGTTCTTCATGTGAGTGGTATGTTACAATGCTAATCATAAGCTTTTTACTTACCTCGGTATTTGAAGGGACAGTAACAAATTATTGTTATGTTCTGTGAAGTTGTAATTAGTAATTAATTAAACAAGTCGGATAAGATTTGGGGATGTTTGTCGTAGTGATATGATTACTAAGGAACAAGTTTGTGGAGAGTGTTTGCACCGATATAGATAAACCTTACAACCTGGAGGATGTCTCCGTCTTGGGGCCTCATGCCACGTATGTATGTATGCCCAAGAAGAAATAAAGCGATGTAGAGGTTCAATGTACGCATTTAAATGCATATTCAGTTCGATGTTTAAATGTAAATATTATATTGTAGGGAATTTTACGGTATAGACGATTCTTTTCCTGCTGATCAACTCCTGGTGAGATCCGTTGGTGGGAAGAAAAGGAATGTTTATCTGGTGTCCAAAGCAGTCAAAGATGTCATGGAGATGGTCACTGACGAACACAAGGTTTGTTTAACGGTTCGTATGGTGTCAAGCATGTGAAGTTTCCGACGCTCAAGAGAGCAGAATGTATGTCAGGTATTCAAACTGTGTCGCAGTTGTGTATTAGGAAGTTAGATCATTGAAATAAGGGTGATGTGAATGAACACCTCCCCTTCTCCTTTCCTCGGTAACAGAATTTTCACCCGACAATGCCCGATGACAGACTTCCCAGAGACTACTAACATTTTTACTATTTATAAAGTCGAAGATACGATCACTTCATGTAACCCGAGATACATATTGAAATGGTATCGTTCCAGGTGGTTAACACAGGGATGAAGGTGATTGCCCGGGCAGAGGTTGACAATGCAGGATGTCTGTTCAGACTGATGCAGGAGGTATGAACATGTGATTACTATGCCATACACTGAACGTGATTGAGGATAAATTGCTTGAGACCCATTTTCTCGCTTGCTTTCTTATTCTTATATGTTCCTCCTTAAGGCAGTAAAAGTAGTCTACAGTGCTGCGGAAGCACACTAATTAAAATTATGGTGGAAAATTCTGCGCTTGCAGTTTTTTCTTTTTGGTTGTCTGTTTGTTTGTTCAATTTTCTGTTTTCTTTTTTTTGCCATTTTTGTGGCTTACATAAGGATAACTCAGTTCCCGTACGCAAACAAAGTCGCTTTTTGGTCCAGTATTTCCGTCATTACGGATGTTTTTGACAATAATTTCTCATGTATTTAACAAGCTAACTTTGATTGAAGGATTAAACATTTCTGAGAAAGGACTCTTTTCTTAATTTCACAGGGTATCGAGGCTGTACTGCCATACATAAACAAACGCAAAGTTACCATCCCACAGAAGGATCTCGTCATCTTGTTGACTCAAGACAGGCCTTTCTGCACTGAATTTTCAAGTGCGACAAAAGAGCAGTTGGACAAAATTGAAGGTGTGCTTAGACTGATGTATTAGGCCTACCTGGGAAGAATTGGAAAGATGGACGCTGAGAATTGAAATACTATTTTGTAACTATTGTGTTATTGTGGTAGAGGTTGTCACTCCCTAGCTGAGCATTGCTCTAGTTAAAAGCACTTGAAAGCATTTAGAAATCGACCAATGCTGCACTTGTATACCATTTTGCTTTAGATGTTGACTACCCTCTTTCCTCCGTCACTGATTCACTCAGCGTTCGTTTATCGTATCACCCTATACTTCTCTTAAATGCTAGAATAACGCTGGTTATTACTTCCACAACGTTCGTTTGTTTTGGGATGTGATCAGCAAATGTGTTTGGTTAGCACGAATTCAAGTTGTGCGATGGCCAGACTAAACAGGGAACAGATTACAGGTGATAAAAATTTGTTTCAAAACAAGTCTCTTTCAACTGAAGTATTCACAGCTAGAGTATCACAATAGCGACTTCAATATGCAAATAAATTAAATGTTGAAAGGTGAAGATGGGGTATGGAACTATAAGATATAAAAGAATGCTTATCAGAATGGATCAAATTTGGGTACACTTGAAAAGCAACAGCCAACTTTATTGTAATTATTTTTCTCGTAACGCCTAGACGTTATGCGTTGAATTATGTAGCTGTGATTTTCCTGCTTAGGCAGAGATACTGTTGCTCTCCTATCATAAAGTTTGTTGTCAATAACTAAAGTACATGGATATAGTTACACTAAGTATTTTTATGTTTCTCTATTAGGATGGGTCCATGATAAGAAATTCGTTAGGTTTTTACACTCTTGCTTCGGCATTTTTCAGATCAAGGCTGTATTGTGTATGTTTATGAACCCAACGGTCCATACAGGTTAGTAGTTCGCTCTCAAGTTAACTTTTATGTCAAGGAAACTGAGCATCTTAACAACTTAGTCGTGCAATGCATGAACTACAAACTTAATAGGGACCAGACAGGATTTATAATCCACATTCCTTTAGGAAATTCAGCACCAAAGATCGCTTCATTATTTTGCCTCTGTCTTTGTGTTTCAAATCATTGTTCGAAATTCTTTCGAGTAGTTTCGCAAGTGGTCTTGACTCCAACTGCTTACCTTTCTGGTACGTTGTACAGAATATGTCGAGCTATTTGAAAAACCCCAATGAGTTTAATGGCTGCTTGATTTTCTGTCCTAGCTTTCCGGAGGATACTATAAGGAGTAGACTTGTAATCTGTGGCTGGAAAGCTAAAGTTTCCACACGGGTCCAGATTAGTAAATTTGACAGAACTCACTACAGTATACTGTGTGGTTTACCACCTGGAAATAAGCAAAAAGGTATTCATAACTTAGTATTGTTCTTATTTGATGCGTTTCGTCCATCATGAAAGTTATTACTATTAGTTTCTCTAGCGCCACCGCTGGCGCGGCGTAGCCTTGCAGAGGAGGCTACCACTCCAATTTTGTGATGGCAATCAAAGGAAGGGCTGTTTCTCATTTTTAGGGAAGAAAGACGCAGTGGACTCAAAACAGGAAACGACTTCTAAAGAAGATAAAGACAATGAACAAGGTGACGACGAGAAAAACCGGGATTTTATCGGCGACTTTCTTAACGTGGAGCCACCAGAAGGTTCACTTGACGTGGGTTTTATATGAAGGCTTATTTCTTTCGTATACCTCCGTGTTAAGTTGTACGCTGAATAAAATAACTTGTCAAAGTCGTTATTCTCATTTCATGCAGAGACCAGTCAGCTAATCACTGCCTCCAGGGTCCTTCAACCTAGAAATTAACAATAAAACACACACCACCACTGATATTTCGAAATCCCCGCGCATCTCTCACAATTCAGTGCCAGACCCTCGCAGACCTCTTGTCGGTTCATACTGCTCAAGGCCTCAACCTTCCTCGCGAGCGAAGAAATCTCATGCCGCAGCGCTGATAATGAGGGCCTTGTCGCGAGCCAGACTTCTGATCGAGAGCTCTGGGTTTGAGCTCCGAGCGAGACACTTCAGATTAATGAATGGTTTTTTGAATAGCTGAAACCTCCGGGAAAAGCTTTAAATTTAGTTGCTTTATTCGTAGAGTTCATGTTCTTTTAGAGGAAGATTAGTCACTATTATGTATTCTTTTTAATACCGTGAATGTTCGAGTGAACGTCAGCGTCTTCGAAGCTGTGCTCTAGTTCTAGAAGGAGTCAATAGGTTAATAAATGAATGGGGTGTATGGCTCTTCTCTATCGATCACTTTAAGTATTCTTACGGGACAGATGGTCTTTCTAGACCTTAATACCATGGTGCAAGTCAGATCATGGTGCAAATTTCAAACTTTAAATAGAAAAATATCTTAGAGTGTAGAATTCTACTCTGTAAGAAAGGATCTCGAAAATCTAGGAGAGCGATGGAGGATTTTAAGTAGAAAGGTAAAATTACATGAACCCACCAGTGGCGACTGTGGAAGGGAATCACAAGTAATGTTAGCGCGCACAGTGGTGTGTTTCTGTTGAGATATTTCCTAGTTTTGTTTATTGTTCCCTTATCACTCGGAGAAATAACGTACGAAATTGACATGTTTCGATGGAAGCTGAAAAATTATTAGTATCTGGTCTGTTACTGAGTTTCTATTAGTAGAGCTAATGTGTGATCGCAGTGGGATAGTTTTCCATATTGTTCCTGTCAATGAGTTAAACAAGATAATTAGCCAAGAGCCCTGTATAGAGGGTCCCAATGGGGTTAACCGTTAGCCGTAAAACGGCCAAAATATTTAGCCGTTAGACGTAAAAATTGACAAATTTTAACCGTTAGTCGTAAAAAAAGTTAACCGTAAAAATATCTCTGGTGGAAACAATGGAAAGGTGTTAACTGTTAGCCGGAAATTGGCCAAAATTTTAACCGATAGCCGTAAAAGCCATAACCCTATTGAGACCCTCGGTATACAATAGACCATTTCGGAGTTCATGTAATCCTCATAATCAAGACGAGGGTTATCGGCCAATCTTTGTAATGGATAGTCTCACTTTAACAACAAGGTTTTAGATGAAGTCTTACTTAGAAAGTTAGGGTTTTATGAACAAAAAGAAATTCAGCATCTCTCAAAGTGCCTTAATAGATTCGGTCATGATAGCATGCGAGAGTTGTTTTTTCGAAACAAAAAGAGAGCATAACTTTCAAAAGAACGAAAATATCGCATTACTTCACCTTAAGAGAGAGGAAAAAAACTGTTTATCTTAACTCATACAGGTTTTTTTCATTGGTCTATGGTCTCTATTGTCTAAATACTTCGAAGCAAAAATAAAATGCATCAGTCCCACGCCCACAGTTGTCTCTTTGCAGCCGTTGTTTGGTCTCGTCACACAACATGTCTTCTCCGTTGGAGAGAAAGCGCGTTGCGTGACGAGACCAAATGACGAATGCGAAAAGGACTGCGCTTACTGCGGTTCCTCTAACAGACAGAAAATCAAATTAATCGTCCACTGTTAGTTGCCTTAAAAATATAATTTCATGTAATTTTTCTACGAAAAGCAAACTGAAACCCTAACTTAGAAGTTTGAACAGTCGCAAGTGTGTTGCAAGGTGGATTTTGTGCCACTATTGGCTGTTTCGAGGGTAATTTTGAGAACACTGGACGAATGGAAATGTTTTCGATGCCTGGAGAAAGTGATCTTGTGGAGTCGTCTTTGTTTATTACCCTCGAAACAGCCAAACAATTTCCCTCAACAGCCAATAATGACACAAAATCCACC